GTGGTTAAAGTAGGGGTGGACAAACTTTTCTGTTAGCGGGCCGGTAAATTAAAAAAATTCTTGCCACGGGCCAGAAAAAAAAATATATTGCCGCGGGCCGGTCATTAAATAACATTCAGGGCAATGCTACTAAGCAAAAAGTTTTAAAACATCATTTTTTAGAAACTCTAATGAGTTTTTTTTTATTTTTATACTTTTTCACATACAAAATTCGACACCTTAGCAGTATTGTTATAAAAAGTACGAGATTTTTATGTTTTAAGTGTAGATTGAATATTTTAAGTTTAAAAAAATAATCTAATTTAAATTTTTGATATTAAAATTTTTCTGAAAAACGCTCGGCGGGCCGGTTTAAAACCTCATACGGGCCGTAGTCATCACTGGGTTAAAGCAATATCGCCCGGATTGCATGGCTTCGAATCCCATCTCAGAGTGCCAGGGCCAAAGTGGATTGTTTAACCATTTTTAATTAAGATTTTTTTCTGTATAGCATTGTGAATGTAAAATTGTTGAAATGTAATAATTTCAAAATGCAAGTTATAAGTTAAAAATCTTTGGTTATAAATAACTAAGGTTACTAAATTAAAGTTATTGTAAACAAAACCATCTCGCGGTCATTACTTTGGTTGTTACATTCGAAAACTTAACCTATTCCTCTAATAATAAGTAAATACATTCTAATAACACTTTTTCGATTTTTTTTCAATATTAAATATATAAACTATTAACGATTACTTGTTTTGTTTTCAGCGCCGACTTTAACCCCAGAAAGAACGGTAAACAAATAATAATATCTTTGCAGGGCGATTTTGTAAAAATTCGAACTCGAATTAAAATTCACTTATGTGTCACATACTCACGTTATTTAGTGAAGAAATTTTAATGATTACATTTTTTGTAAAAAAAATATAAGACAACATCGATTGATTATGGGCGGATCTCTTTTTTCTGTAGTCGGGATAAAAAAAAGTGAAAAATAAAAATGTTACCATACCTTGAAATACTAATGTGCGCAATTTACCAGATACAATTAAGTAACTGGTTTGGACTATTGGCGAGCTGTTTATTAGGGTATTTTTTTGAATGATAAAGAAATGATAAGCTTCTTTTGAGTCACCTGGGTAACCATTATGTTTTGGAATAAAAAAAAATAATTATAATGTTTCTTTATACTTTTTTAGATACATGGTAGCAAAAATAATTATATAATTTTAACAACTTTATTCTCAACCTATGATTATTTGAAAAATTAACAAAAACGTTGTCTCTTGGATAACTGTGAATAGAAATAATATTTAACTTAAACATAATTCTTATACATTTTTGGTTTTTTCTTCAAATCATTGATATCTAGAAACTAGTTATCTGGTTGTAATCAACACTTTTTTCTTGACTTTTTAACTAAGAAGAAAATTAAGATAAATACTAAAAATGATTTTACAAACTAGGGACCATTGGTTTTCCAAGAGACATAATTAGGTTTTCCAAGAGACATTAGAAAGTACTTTAATAGAGGTAGTATTAAAAAATTTACTAACCGTTTTTAGTAACGAAATAAATATCTTAAGACTATAATATGAGAGTAGTTAAACAAGAAAATCTACAATTTATCAAATAGTAGACTAGTACTCAGTAAAATAGTTAAATATTATCCAATTATAATCAGCCTTGCAAATTATTTTGTTCTAGGAACCATCAAAATAACTAAAGAGGTTTAAAAAACTTAATAATCAGTCAAACCTTAACATAATCAGCCTTTTCATTTCATAAAATAACTCTAGATTACTAATAGTGAGTTAAGACATTACAGTTACCAATCGTACAAAACAAGGTTTTACATTTCAAAAATATCAATATTATCTGTAAACTGGAAGTGATACTGACCACGTTTTAGAAAAGGTTTTGGTCGTGGTAATTTTTTTATGATGTCCTCATGGTTGATGTAGGCAACATCGTTTTTGTCAAGGCGGAAAGTTTTTTCATTATTTACGCACCGCAAGAACGTGACTCGTATTTCTCCATCGTCGTCCAATTCATCAATGACACAGACATATCTGTATAGTTTGCCTTTCATGTTTTGTACATTGACCAACAAATAATCACCTTGAGAATAAGCCACACGCTGTTCTTGTCCAGATCCTGTAGGTACTGAAGAATATGATTCCCGTTCGTCTTCTGAGTCATAAATAATTCCATATGTGACATAGATGAGAAATTTCGATCTCACTGTCTCTATTTTGTTGATCTTCCAAAGCTAAGTTTTTGAGAACACTTAATGGTTCGTTATCACCTGATGAACTACTTCGGTAATAGCATGTTTTATTAATTCTGATGTTCGTAGGATAATAAATTTTAACGTCCAGGCAATCACAAAATCCCCTATTAGAAAAACATCCCAAACTTCTATATTTTAATTCGTCACGTGTTTTTGTGACAATCTGATGGACACTTAATGTACCCACAATAAAACTGCTCTACATTCGCAATATCTTTTCCGCCCGCAACGATGTTATCAGCAGTCCTCTTCAGATATCCACCGACTCCATCAGCTGGTCCTTTGCCGTGTCCGGCTTCAAAGAATGACCAGGTCATAGCTGTAAATCCGTAATCAAAGATCTTAGTTGACGCAAGGTAAAAGTTTTTGTTTTTGCCTATATTGGCTAAATGGTCCATCAGTGTAGAAATGCGCAGTTTTTACTTGTGGGTAAATTGTGAGAATGTCCTTCAACACAGGATCAAAATCGGCCCATATTGCCGGAGGTTGATGATTTGTGCAAGAAGACATGGTGCAGTATGATTTTGGTTGAGGTTTATTTTCACTATCAAGAACATATGCAACAACTGTGTGTAATGATATTTGTTGTCTTGATCCACCAAAGTGGTGAGCTTGCACCTCCTCGTGGTACATTCCATCATAATTTTCACTAAAATCACTACTTCAGTCTTTTCTTACTTATCAACAGCTTGTCTTAAATTTTTATACTGAACTTTTATATTGTAGATATGTTTTTTTAGAGTCTTCAATTCCTGATTGAATGTATTCATTAAATCTTCAACTGTTCCTTTCTTTGTTTCTTTAATATTTTTTACTGCCTTCTTTTTCGTATGATATTTCTTTCCTACACCATTCCTGCCACGTCATTGTCATTGAATTTTTTTGTGATATCATGACCTATTCTTTTATTACAGCAATCTTGACATGTAGAGTACATGCATGATTGTTTTTGTGGATCACAAACTATTGCCGAAATCAGGTGGTCTAAATTATCGTGATTAACAATTCCTTTCTTTTTGAGTACCTGTGCTTTATAGGTCGGGTTGAGATGTTTCTTGCATAAGCACATTTCTCGTGCGGAGACTGAAGGCTTTACAACATAAAAAGGTCGGCTTTTGAAAAAGTAGCTGTATGAACATTTGATGTCAGGGTTTTCCTTTTTGAATATTTGAAAGAGTACTTTTACTGTATCCAACAAATACCTCTTTTGCATTTTCACACTACTTTTAGTTTTTGTATCTTTTCTTCCAGCCGTTGCCCTCGATATATCATCTCTTGAAAAGAAATACCCGATTCTTTCATTTAACTTTAGTTTGCTATTTCGTACACTTATTGTAGATCTCAAACTCCCTTTCAAACCTAATGCATCTTTTGCAATGTTGACTTTTATCGAATCTTGAATTTGGTCAAATACTCTTTTAAACGTAGTTTTTTTTCGATATTTTTCAAAGTTATGTATTTTTCTTTTATCGCATTGCTTAATGTTCTGTATTTTTTTCAAAATTGTTTTCAAATCTATCTTTAAAGTTTTCCTTGTTTTTTTTGAGATCTTTGGTATCGTTTCTTATATTTTTCGTATTTTTGTTTTAATTCTTCATTTTCTTTCTTTAGCTTTAAATTGTCGCTATAGAGTTTTGACCGGTCTCGTTTAATTTGCTTTCTACCTCTTTCCTTGTGAGAAACTGATGAACCTTGCGACAATGCAGGAGAATCGTTTCGTTGAATCTCTATCACGTTATTATAATTATAATTTGGTTCATTTTCCACGAACAATGGCGAACTTGGAGGTGTATTATCAATAATACGGTGAAGATTTTTTTTTCTATCTCTTTGTTTTTTTTTTCTCCAATCTCCAAATTACTCGAGCATTATATTTTTCTTTGGCATTTAAATCCTTGACCAGTCTTTTTGTAGCGTGGTTACTTTCTCTCTTTTTCTTTTTATACTCGTTGTACTTTTCTGGATCAAGTTTTAACCTTTTTTTAAAGCGCCTTTGCTTTTCTTTGTTAGATAGTGGCATCACCTAGAACCAAATTAATTAAAAACTGTTAGAAATCCTTTATTTAAAAATAGTAATTCTATTCAATTGTAAATGGCGGTACGAAGTCTTTCGGAAGTTATGGGCGTACATTTAGGCGATTCATTTATATAAATGTTATCGAAATAGTATCTTGTTTAGTACTGGCTTTTGTTTATTTTTAATCAAAGCTCACAATTGAAAATATACATACTTCCTGATATTTTATTGAATTGTAATTTTAGATGCAAGCGTAAATTATTAAAATACAATTAACAAATAAACAATTTGTCCGATTTTTATTTTATTTTATTTAAAATGTTTTAAATTACTCAAGAAGTCTCTGAGGTAACTAAAAATGTCCTTTGGATAACTTTTTTGGTTACTGACCTGTTAGCCAAGAGAATTTTCTTAATATTTTAAATTTTATGACAAAGAAAACTAAAATCATGCAAATGTTAAATGTATTATGGAACTCATTTCTTCCATCCCACAATTTTAAATACTTAAAATGAACAATACTTACGAAATTATCGTAGTTTCTCAGTGGATCAACAATAAACACACGCTCACTGTGGTAGACTCGCGTTGAAACTGACCGAGAGTCTTTGAGGTAATCTCGATCCGACATTCGATCGTATGATTTGTATCCTTGATCCTGATTGGCTTAACCGCTGATCATGTTGTTTCGCTCATACTCGTCAGGACATGTCTATGGTTAGTCGGTGGAACACGTCACTTTTGCACCTACCAGGACACTCGGACGTATTCCAAGTAAACGCGATAAACAGAAAAATATCAAAGTCTGCGTTGAATTAAAACTGTCAGAGAACATTAGAACATAATTAAGTGTATAGAAAAAAGCGTATGCTTCTTAAAGAGTTTTTTTTAGAAACTGTAACAAAAGATTTTAGTAGTAGTGCGGGGACATCGAACATTTATATGAAGTCCGCCATTGTGTCCATTTACTAACCGATATTTTTCGCAAAAAAAAAAGCATTATTTATAGTTATTTCAACGTCAATATGTTATCTCTTTACCATATAAGAAAGTCATGATGTTGAATAAGTGAAGTTGTACATACTATTCACTCTAGATCAGTTTTAGGTCTGGGACATCCTAGTTACAAAAAAAAAGAGATTCGCCCTTATACATGTCCCAGATATTTCCCCAGATATCCCAGATATTGTCCCAGACGATGTAGACATTTCGAAACTCACTTTACTTATGCCACGAAACGTTATTCAATTCAAGGTTGAGCGGATGCCGCTTTTTGAAGTGGATTCCGACACCTGAGTAGATTCGAATTCGTGTTTGGATTTTTGCAGAATTGCAGGGCTACTTTGTTATTTTTCTGTAAAAAAACCCCGCGTTTAACATCTATTAAGATTCAATAAAATAAAACCTGTGAGACCTTTTTAAATATTTGCAGTAAATCGGCGGCGTAGTGAATAAGCGTCGCGATCGTTGTTGTTAAGCAACTTTCGCAAGGGTCTGGTCATGGGATGGGTGACCATAAAATTATTATCACGCGCTACTCCGTGCTGCGGGAGACACGTTAAGCCGTTGGTCCGGCTGTATTTGCAGTCGTTAATATATTCCAATCACATTGGGCCAACGTGGAGGGCCACGGCCCACCCTCTTTAACCATCCATAAGAAAGGCCTGAGGTCCTGCAGTGAGGACGTAAAAGGGCGGACGATGGTGATGATGATGACCATTATGAAACCCTTATGGATATGAAATAGTTTTTTATTATTGAATCTCTAAGCCGCAACTTCACGTTGGGTTCGACGCCGATTTTTTGCAGAATGGCCAAGCAGTAGTAGTATTATTACGTCATCAGCAGCATTTAGCATTATTAATTATAATTTAAATTATTGTTGAGGTTACCAGGGTTGTGGTTGGCGACAGAACGATGGGCTATCTGAACGCATTACTGAAGACGACGACGTTATTTTCGGGGAGTATCCATGGGTAGTGGCGATTTTCAAGTGAGTCTGATGATAAGAATAAGACCGCACTATGTGGTCGCCGCGGCCCACGATCGTTGTCGTTAAGAACTTTCGCAAGCGTCGGTCACGGGATGGGTGACCAAAAAATTATTATCTCGAGCTACTCCGTGCTTCGGAAGGCACGTTAAGCCGTTGGTCCCTGCTGCATTTGCAGTCGTTAATACCCTCCAACCCGAATTGGGCCAGCGTAGAGGGTCATGGCCCATCCTCCTTAACCATCCATAAAGAAGGCCTGAGCCCCTGCAGTGGGGACGTAAAAGGGCTGATGATGATGATGATGATGATGCGTACACAGTGTAGGTATAGGGTACTACTGATAATTTAAAAAAATTATCCAGTTTCACTCCAGGTTTTATTTGGTGAATATAATTCACCAAATAAAACCCAATTTCACAGATGATTTTCAAAGATGTAAGCATTTTAAATTTCATTTCGACACGGTAATGATTTTTGTGAGGAGGTGATGACTGCTTTACATAGGGTAATGACTGTCGTGCACTGGTAATGACCTTATTAGTATTATGCACGTCTGGGTACTGGCTGGTGACGCAAAACCGCATACATTGCAGTTCGCGTTTTTATTCGGCTGATGCTTAAATGTCACAATCTGTAAAGTAATTTGCGTTTAATCCCAATCTTCAAAAATATTAATACGCAGAGCGAGCATAGTAATATTATAGAGAGAATATAGTAGTACCCTCCATTCGTGCTGTGGTCTAATTTTAAGTTCTACCGCAATACCTTTCAATTTGTCATGTAAAAGATATTCACGAATTTCATGCTATTACCATTTGATATGTGATACCGATTGCAAATGAAACTTTTAATGAAATATTTTATGAAATATCTTTGTAAGTTATTGAGAAAGAGAAATGTTAAACGAAAGCTTTGAATGCTAAGTGCAATCTTTTTACGGGTTAGAGTTACGTGATCCATAAACCGCTAAATTTTTGATAGGGTTTGCGATTGATTTGAAATTAGATAATTAAGCCGCTGGTATGGTTAGCACAGAAGGAAGAAAGACGAGACTCAGTTGTATTTAACAAAATCACTTTCTGTACAGAAGTAGCTGGGTGGCGTAGTGGATGAGCGCCGCGGCCCGCTATTTTGTTGTTAAGCATTTTCACAAGGGTCGGTCACGGGATGGGTGACCAAAAAATTATTTCTTGCTTCGGAAGGCACGTTAAGCCGTTGGTCCGGCTGTATTTGTAATCCGCACTGGGCATGCGTGGAGGGTCATCCCCTGCAGTAATTAATTTACCGAAATACTATTTTCCAGATATGTAGCAAAGACGAATTCTTATGAATACTGCTGTGTTGGTTCCCTTATACATCACAAAGTAGTTTTGACTGTGAAACACCACTTCAAGAAGCCAGCTCGTGTCAGAGTCAGAGCTGGAGACTGGGACATAGTCGAAGATTACGAGATATATAACCATCAGACCAGCGACGTTGCAAATATCATCGGCCACCCTAAATACAAACCGAGTAAGTTTTTTTTAATCTGTAAATTAACTTATATCGTCAGTACTTGTTGTAAATTTTGTTAAATTTTTTATGGACAGAGTAAAACATTAGCTTCACACCATAATATTAGGAGGTGAAAATTATAAGAGAAAATGAAAAATCATATTGTTTAACATTGCATTAGGTTTAGAAAGTGTCATTGCCATATCTTGACTTAAGTAAATCTGTGGTATACTTATTTTTTTTTTATTTTAGTTATTAAAACTTACAGCTGTAATTACACAATATAAATAAATTATGCGTCTATAAGCCATTTACAAGTTTTCACTTATAATTAATAGAAGGAAAAACAGAAAACCGACGTGAAGCAAAGCTTGCGTTGTGTTTCGTCGTGTGAGTGAGGGTACCGGAGGCCCAACCCCTCTCTATTCCCTTCCCTCTACCCCTCAACCCTTCCCTCCCTATGATCATATGTAGCCCCTCTGGTGTTGCAGGTGTCTATGGGCGACGGTAATCACTTACCATCAGGTGATCCGTGTGCTCGTCTGCCGCCTATCCCATAAAAAAAAAGTTAAATTACAGATTCAAACCCAGTGCTCGAAGTAGGAGTTGGTCATCAATCGCCTCAATACTGCAGGTTTTCTGTTAAAAATGTCAATTGAGGGATGCTTGATGGCAAAATCATTTAATAAAGTACCAGCTCTACAGAAACAGGAATATCGCCGATAACTCGTATTACATGTCGGTATTCGAAAAGGGCGGTAAACACGAAGTTGTTTCTTAGGAACATTCAGGAATATTTCACCAAGCAATGAGGTGGAATCTGCCATTATTTAAATAGTTAGACGAGGTCGTTCACCTACCCGGTGGTCTGGTCTTATAAAAACCGTAATTGGACTCAACGTGTCGAGCCTCTCAAAACTGAAATCCCGTTGCCTAAAATTTTACGTATATAATAATAATAAATTGCTATTGCCAATGTTAATAGTAACACAAAGACATTAACATTTATTTTTCCACAAATTCATTCGTTTGGATATTTTTTTGCAACCACTACTAATACACCTCATCTTTACCACTTACATACCAGACTTACATAACCAATTTGGTTATTTATATTTAGGATCAAGCAGATAAGGTATAAAAATTTTCTTTGAATCGTCCAATATTTTACCACCCGCTCAGAGGCCTTTTTAAAATCGATTGCATTTTCTTTCAATATGAAATTTGAAATATATTCAGTAACTACATGTTACAATTATTTGATATATGAGAACGATTGAGAACGCGACGATTTTTAAAGATATTAAATGAACGATATCGTTAATTTAGCTTTAATTAGAATTAGACAAACGCGAGACGCAAATCTCTACACAATTCAGTGTTTGTTTGTTTACGTTGACACGCACATACTCACACAGACACACACGTGCTCACGCTCACGCCTATCATTATATTTTTAAATTATTAAAAATACAAAATGTAAACAAAATAAAAATAAGTAAATTATTCCGTCGTGGGAGGCCGAAACTCTGTCATACAGGGAATCCTAGTACCAGTAGCGTAGCTACCAAGGGGCTAGGCGGGGCAGTTCCCCGGGGCCCTCAAGCTCAGGGGGCCCTCGAATCTTTACCAGAAAATCTCAATCGAACTCAACTTTTGAAAATTTCTCCCATTTTCAAAATAAATATGACAGGTGACAACTCGAGTTTAATCATGGAAACTCAGTTGTGAGAAATTCCAAAGTTATAAAAAGGGAATTCCCCTAAATTATTTGTGTGGGTTGACAGTGTTATTAATGTTTCATCAATTTGTTGGATATCAATATCTGCATATTATTATTTATCGATATGCGTTTCTGTGATTCGCGATTGTGAACTTCGAGTCAAGATTTTTTTTCGAGAATGGTTAAAAAGTTAATGTATCAGGAGTAAGTAAGCGTATGTCAATAAATTTTTTGTACTGGTCCACACAAAAATTCAATTTTATTTGATTGTAGTACGTATACATAGTTACGTAAAAATCTATAGATTTCGGCTGCTCACTGTATAACTCAAAATACCGTGAAAAATACAAGTCACAAGCAGTAGGGGGCCTTCCATTAATTACGTGATGTTTTTTGTCATTTTTTTAAACCGCCAAATGTGGTAACATTGGCGGCGATAAAATGTTTGCCGGGGATTCCCCAACGACGTCTTGTATCGTATCATTGCGTTTCGCTTTCCTTTTACTTGTAACGTTGTCAGTGAATAGTGAGTACCTACTTGAGTACAATCTTACATATTTTGCATAAATAAATTAGAAAACTAATATTAAAAACAAAAAAAAAAAGAAACCAAGTGATGTATTTAAATGCAAACAAAGCCAAGAAAGAGGAAAAACTAAACAAAAATTGCCCAAAATTGTCAAGTTTTTTAGTCAACCTTCTGCAAGTACTTCTTGAAAAAATATTTCTATTGATAATTTTTGTAAATAGCTTGCAAAGCGATAGGTTAAATAACAGTAAGCTGGTGCAACGGATCTATGAATAAATAAATATATAATAAACCCTTGAATCTTATCTATTTCGTTTTATTGCTCAATACCTACACCAAGTATAAAAATAATCGTAATTTATGTTGTTAGTGTTTAATAGTTTTATTACCTGCCCGTGCACGAAAAAGAGCTGATGATAAATTTGCTTAGCATTTTTAAAGTATTTGTATATTTAATGATTTTCTTCAAAAAACCTTACCAGTTTTGATAGCAGTGGGCCCCATTTTTTTATTTGCCCCAGGGCCCTAGATGACCTAGCTACGCCACTGCCTAGTACAGGCAGGTTTTGCTCTCTCACGGTGATTACAATATTAATAAATAAGCTTTAAGTCTATTGTAATAACTTTCTTGTTTAGGCACGAATGAGTATGACGCAGCTCTACTCATATTGGCAACGTCGATTAATTTGGCACCCAACGTGGCATTTGCATGCCTCCCATCTGCCTCTCATGCCACTCCCTCCGGTACTCGCTGTCACGTCACCGGATGGGGATATGACACCTTTTATAACGGCAGCATCCAAAACATTTTAAAGCGGGTAAATATATGTATAATGATTGTTTTACCTATTGTTAGGGCACAAGCCATTCTACCAGAGCACAGAGCAACTATGATATTTAAAAAAAAATCTCGAACACTAACCTATTTTTTAACTCAACTGACAACCTAAACCCGTATTCACTGTACAATGTGAACAACTCCAGTGCGGCAAAATCGCTTATTTGTATTTTCTATAAATGGTTTACAATTTTAAAAGTTATCCTCAGAAATTGCCAGAGTTACAGAATAAGGGGTCGGTTCGAGTTTCCAAATTCGAGGCTGTTTTTATAATAATAAATAAAATAGCACTGTTTTAAAAATAGCACTGGAGATTATTTGAGGGTATTATCGACTGCAGATGCAGAACCAATGACTTAACGTGCCTTACGAGGCTCTATAAAGCTATAGATATATTTTTTTGATTTCTCATTAAAATTTCAATCTATTGAATCTTAATTTTTCTATTGCAGGTAGAAGTCCCAGTTGTAGGCAATGCAATCTGTCAGCAACAAATAAGTACTGCACTAAGTAAAAGTATCACACTCTCTGATTCCATGATGTGTGCGGGGGGAGAGAAGGGGAAGGATGCTTGTTTAAAAGATGGTGGAGCACCCCTTGTATGCCCTTACGAGGTAATATTCTTATACATTCCACATTGCATACTATTTAATATATAATATAGCTATTTATACCATCGACCAGAAAACCCCATTTTGTTCGTATCCTTTTTGACCTTTGACATTTCAAAACGTTACTGGCGCTAGTTCCAAATTTCCCACAATATAATCATTCTGCACTTAGTCTATTACACATCTACCTTCACAAAAGCATTTCAACGTCATTGCAATCAACTTTAATTCTTCCGCTTTTAGTAACATACTAACTTAACCGTTAGTCTTATATTTGTTGTATTATCAAGGTTTTCATGTTTTGTACTTCTTATAAGCATTAAAAGTTCATTTCAGTAGGTTGTCAAATAATGGAAGCTGCCAAAATCTCTGATTAATGAATCTATCAAATGCTAAATTAAAAATAAAATAATAACAATCGAGGGTCTACTGTGTTTGTCTGTGAATGAAAATACGTTAAAATTTCGCATTGTAAGTTTTTTAAAATCATATCCATGAAGGTTATTTGTGCATTATAGGCAATGTCAGGTCACAAGATTTTTAATAGACAAACTTCTTGGTCCTACTAAATTATAGAATTATCGTTCAACATGTTTTACTATAACATTTTTTATTGTGTTAACAAATTGTTCATGGGTTTAAGGGTTCCGTAGTAAAACGACCCAATTAATTTCCGTCCGTGAATTTTTTATTTGGGTATCTCCCTACATGAAAAGTCGAGAGGAATTTTTTTTTTGTCTTTACCATATTGTGGAGCAACGTTAATAGGTTTTTTAAAAATATTGGGAGTGTGGGAAGGAAATTTTGCAATTTAGAAAACCGTTAAAGAGCTAAATTTCGTTAGAGTCATATATCCTCCCCTTTAACAAATAAACGGTCACTGGTTAAAATTCAAACGTTTCGTCAATAGTACCTATATGTCGCAGAATATCTCCATCATATTTACGAAGATCGTTTGCTTTAGTTTCTTTTTTTTAAATTGCTAGTTACTCGATTACTTAATTACTCGATTGTAAAGAGGGCGTGATCATCGATACTTTTAATTTTATTAGAATGGTATCGCTGACTTTGACAGTTCGTTAACGTAAAGCAAGTTGCTGCCATTTTGGCACGCAATCTGTTTCCAATCGCCGAGAAGTAAAGACATCCGACGACATCACGCTCATCTCGTTATATTTTAGGATGAAAAGTGATAAAATGGAACAAATCCACATTGGTATACACGCCTGCAGTGTTATTTTAAATATAGTCCCCCGATATGGACGATCTATTTGGGCTTCGTAATAGCCTCTTCTGATTACCCGTCGTCATATATATAATGAAATTAAAAGAAAAACTATCACACTTAAGTTTGCTTTACAAGTTTTCGAGTATTAGTCGACCATTTGTATTTAACTGGAAAATTTCGAACAACTCCATAGAAAACAACAAATATGTTTTTTTTAAAGTTTTTTGATGGTACGGAACCCTTCGAGTCCCACTTGCACGTAGCTTGTTTTATTTTTAATAAAAATGAGCAATGCTGATGTGTTGAAAATTAGACTTTGTTTCAGGACCAAAGAGAACGCTATTACCAAGCCGGCATTGTATCCTGGGGCGTCAGGTGTGGACTACCTAATGTATCAGGTGTCTACACTAGTGTGGCGATGGTCCGCGATTGGATCGACAGCACCATGATTGAATTGAAATATGAATCAACATATTTGCCATAAACTTAGATTATATAATAAGGAATAAAAGATTTAATAATTGTTTTCGTGCATTATTAAATTTTATCACATCAAGTAGGAAAAGTTTATGCTTTAATAGACGGAGAGCTCATGACAAGAATGTGTAAGAGCTTTATATTTCAGTATGTTGAAATAATCTTATAGTATCCAATGCAGAGGTCATGCGCTGGAATACTTGGTGGTGGCAGCGCGAAGCAAACTTATAGCGGTATCTGAATATGTTTATACCATTAAATTAAAGTCTGAATTTTTTTTATGGAATAACTAACAGTAATTCAGTAGGACATAAACTTTCAATCATTGTAAAACTATTTTTCACAACTTCTCACACCAAGATCTGTTGAGTCGCTGACTTTTACGATTACTCAATCTGAGTAGGTCAGTTTACTTTTTATTTAAAAAATTAGATTTTCTTTTTCGAGATAAGATTTTAAACTATGAAAAAGCTCTTTTAATGCTGGTTACAATTTTTCATACTCCAAATTGCCCCGCTGCCACTAGGTTTTCCAGCACCATACCTCCGCATTGGTTACTGAATGATGTATGGCCCTTAGTACTTCAATATACTGAAATATAAAAGCTTAGAAAGCTTTTGCACTTTTCGTCACGAACTCTTAGACTATGATGTCAGTTACGCCAACAACCAATAAACACTCGAAGGTAAACAGCTGACCTAAGTCAAATTTACAAAATTAAACTCATGCATGGTAAAACTAGTTTAACGAAACTAATTTCATCATCACATGTGCTGAAATTAGTTTTGGAATGGTGTGCAAAGTATCTCTGACACGCCGGCGCTGTCTATGTACATTGAAACTTTACTAGGCTATATGTTGCAACACTTTCGCGATGTAAATCTTGGTGAAATTAGTTGTTTGACACTAGCTTCATCGAAAATATGCGCATAACATGAATAGTTTATTACTGAAATCATACAATAGATACACCGAGACTTCCCAATTAGTAATCTAAGACACATGTTATGGGAATGGCTCCCAACTTCTCAATTAGTTTTCAATTAATTAATAAAGATTTTATACAAATTTTGATTTTATTATTTATACGCTATGGTTAGGTAATAAGGTATACCGGACATCATCCACGTGCGGTAAACGGCAGCGGGATTATCGGGTATGCCAACTACACTAACTTGCCCTTCTCAGGGCGGGGTATTTCCTCTGCGTTATAAAAAAATAAAAACACTCAATAAGGTAAGGTGAGTATACCTATCTAAAGGCCTTGTGTGCGTGTGTGTGCGTGCGTGTGTGTGCGTGCGTGTGTGTGTGGTAGATTTTCTAGATCTTCATAGGATAAGCTTTTTAGCCAATTAGCAACAAGTTCTTTTCATTTATATAGTGGCATAGAATTTTAAGTATACGGTTAGTTTTATTATACTCGTATACATATGTTGAGGTCAAAGGTCAAAATCGCCACAACACGTTGTGGTCGAATAGCATGTCAGCGACGGCGCGAATTTCGCTATGTGATTATTCTGCGAATGCCACAACGAGTTGTGAACTATTTTTTCGCTCAATGAGCGATTTCGATCTTTGAGCTTAACACATATACCCAGATTGACAATTACACTCTGGCAAAAAATGTGCGAATTGAATATGAGTGAGCAACAACCTTTTTTCTATGTTTCTTCTACTTTGTGATTATACGGCGGTGATTTATGATACTTTAGGAATAACGCTTATAAGTATATAAAGTTTACTTACCGTTAAAAAAGTCCACTGTTCTTGTAAAGGCTATATGGCTTAAAGTACTACAATCACTTTTTAAGTGAACTCTGAACTCTTTCAATATCGAGGAAATTAGTCTTGTCGATACGTGAAACGATTTAAAAAAGCATTAGTTCCCGAAATGAAGTTAGATGTCGCTACTGTACTTTCTTGATTTCTCTTTGACATCCCTTCCGGTTTTCTTTCATCTATAAAAGTAAATTAATTTTGAAAATTCAATAAACAACTCATTTTCCATTCGTACTTTTTCTTATTTCTATTGATATCTAAGTTTCGGACTTTGCAAATTACAGTTTTCTAATATGTTAGTTAAAATGAACGGAAATGACTATCTTTGGTCCATTCGTTTCCTGCAAAAATCAACTTTTGGTAGAGTCGCCATCTAGTGAGGCGCTTTTTATTTCTTAAAATACTTCCTCATTGCTAGTGCTACTAATTGCAATGAAATTAATTTACACAATGGAAATGTGAAGATTTAGTAACCATATCAACAATTGTAAGTAGTGATAGAAAGGACTCGAGTCGTTTAGCCTTATTTTTAGACGTCAAGTCTTAAAAGAAGGCTGCAAGTAGCTAGAAGGTAAAATAGGTTATAAGCCCTCTAGGTTTATTTAAAAAAAGGCTTTTGGCTAGTGATAAAAAGACTCGAACCTTTTTTTAGTTTAGTTTCCTTTTTAAACTCGCAGTCTTATTGACAGGGCTAAAAGGCTAAATGGGCTTTAAGCCCTTGAGGTATATTAAAAAAAGGCTTTTGGCTCCTTCCTTCTCCTCTTTGCGGTTGGTCATGAGATATAAAAAAATGTAGTGAATAATACAGGAACGAAAAAAGTAAGTATTATATTTATTATTGAAAAATTACAACTAGCTAAAACTCTAATTACGACAACAGCCTTCAAAAAAGGCTCGAACTTTAGTAAGAAACTCTTAGTAGGCCTATTTTATGAGTACGTTTTAAAAAAGGACCCGAAGCTTTAAATTTCAGCTCTAAACTTTAAAAAGGCTCGAGTCTTTTCTATCTCTAATTGTAAGGCTAATTAACCTAAGCAAATTTGTTTTCGATATTAAATTACGAGTGTGTATATATACAAATTTGGAATCAGTATAAAATTTGGTGATTTGGAGTAGGGGGTCCCAGACATGTGGTTAGACACGGTAGGCTCCTTGCCGGATTCCGGGTCCATCTCCCCTGCGCTCTGGAGAGTACTCGCATCGGGTTTTACCAGGTAGGCCGGCCTAGCTTAAACCTGTCCTTTTTTCAAGGCGGGCGCGGGGCCGGAGAGCCCTTGTTTAAGGCTTAAGGTTGTTTAAGTTGGCTTAAGATAGCTGAATGGTTAGAGCAGTCACCCGGATTGTGAAGATCCTGGAGCTGGTGGATGTTATTTTTTGGAATATAAGAAATTTTCATCGATTTCTTATATTTTACTTAAAAAACACCTCGTATACTTTGATAGTAGGATATATTTGATTTTTTCTTATTTAAAACTTTTTTTCGTCTAATTATTTGAAATCGATGAATTTAACTGAATCCAAAACCGTCGATATGAAATTAAATTAAGTTAAACAAAAAATCAAATAAGATAATTTTAAAACGACCTAACGAGATAATTAAATACCTTCTAAATTTCAAAACCAATACACATTTACTTCAGCTTCAGATTCTAACAAGAGGAGGCATAAATAAAACTTAATTGGTCTATAACTGCCAATAAAAAAATAATAATTGCAAACAAGAAGGTTTATATACGCTATTCGTTAATAAACGCGGGAAACTGCAAGTAATATGTGGTCCATTGCATTACTATGTGTGAGTTCTTTTTAAATTATTATTATTATATTAGACAACATCATATTCATTAATAAAACAACTTTTAAATTATTTCATTGAGTTTGTATTTAGTTTTTTTTATTTAGTCTTATGTGAACACGGAATCTGTATATTAAATGAAATGAAAATATTTTTATTCAAGTAAGTTGTTTCAAACACTTGAATCGTCCAAAAAAATTTTTTCTCCTACCACTTGTTCAGGGCGTCTTTAGCTGACAAGAAGAACAAGCGAAAGAAACTTACCAGCTCTTTATAAGTAATGACATTTACATAAATCACGTCATTACCAAAATAGTACGTATTGTAACAATAATAAATACAACTTTCAAAGTCATAGGTTCATACCTTTAATTAATCGTTATAGAACAATGCGAAAGTTAAATATTAATTCCATGCATTGTGATCCTTAAAATAATCATCAACTTTATAATTGCCTTTACTCATAAGTATGTACTATAGATGAATTTTAAATGTATTTATGGGTAGGTCAATTATATTTTATGGAACTTTATTGAACATAGCAATGCACTTACCCAGAAATGATCCTCTGGTTTTTTGAAGTCTGGAGCTTGGGACGGCAATTTTTTTTTTAATTTTTGTGTTAAGATTATGAACACTACTTTTTTGTGAAGGAATCGTAATATTTTCTTGCGTACATAAAATTTTTATATATTGAGAGGCAACAGTCAAAATATTGATTTCTTTAAATATTTCTCTGACAGATTTCCTATACTGTAAAGGGTCCGAAACGTCAATAAAACTAAATACTGTTGTAAGCCGTTTAAAAATTGTTTTATTTATGGGTAGTGCGCGTGACATTGCTCAGATTCCAATTTTAGTAGCTAAAGCTCTCGTAGCACGGAGAATCTGAGACAACGATGGTTGACATCCGGAACCGAGACAGTATAGAAAAGTCCCAACCCAGAAAAAAGAATCGAACCCGGGACCGGTGTGCGAACCTTTCGGCTATGGCAAAATAAAAATGTTTTTCTATTGAAAAATTATAAATTCAGTTTTTCCGTGAGTGAAAAATAATTAAAAAGCTTCATTTCCACTTAATATTGTTTATTCCACATTATTCAATAATCAAAATATACAATAACTTACATTTATTTATAATATCTCGATAATACCTATTTTAGCCATATTACAAAAGATCCATTGTTACGTTGAAATAGTTTACTATATCTTGTGATAATATGATTTTATTGGTATACTACTAACGGTCAGGTGCACAAACATCCATTAAAGTTTAATGACTCCTTCAAGCTCTAATGAATGTCCAATTTGTATGGGTAATGTCGCTTTAAACTACTGAAAATTTTAATGGACGTTAATTGAATATTAAAATACGACTGTATTTGTTTTTTTTTTTGTAATCGTTATAATCTAACACTTCTAATTACGTTAATTAAATAATAAGCTGTAGCCCGTTTTTGAAACAATACACCAACACGATTTAGACCTTCATGAAGTTGCATACAATACGGGTGTAGACAGTAAACGAAAATATATATTTTTTTCCGGTAGTGTTTAATATAGTATTACCGTTAATCACACTACCAAGCTTATTTAATTTATAATATTATTTAAATTAATGAAGAAAAAAAAAAGTTATTTTATACTCGTCATGTGACTGCAAACAGCACGTGACGTCACAGTCCTCTAACGAAGATACAAAATTTGACTTTTGCACTGACATACATAGAACTGTGCATAGAACGAGATTTGTTGTTGTTATTATGTTAGTTTCAGAGGGCATTGTGACGTCACATCGATGCCATGACAGACATCAGCGTTTAAGCGGATTAGCGGGAAATTATTATCATGAATTTTATTTTTAGATTTTAACTTAATAAATGAGAGATATTTTTTTTGTATTTTTTTAAAAATACATTTCAAGTATATCTATAAAATTGAATTATTTTATACACAATTTGTATATCAAAAGCAGTCTACAAAGAGAACAAAAAGTAAGGGGCTTAAAATCGAGCCCTGTGGTACGCCTTAGGACATTAAAATGTCTTTGGGAGAACCGATTCTATAGATAACGAGGTAGATTAAATTTTTGCGATTTTTCGAGTATACCTATTAGTACCTTGTCAAATGCTTTACAAAAACCTGTGTAATTTGCATCTGCCTGACCCCGTTGATCCATATTTTCAAATATAATGGTCGAGTACTTTACCAGATTACTGAAAGTGGATTAATCCTTCACAAAGCCGTGTTGTTCAATAACTCTATGAAGACTAGGGTAGAATACATTATGAACAAAGCCATCCAACATTTTAGGTATAGAAGACACCATGGATATAGGTTTAATTTACGCGAGGATGGTAATCGATGATGTACTTTTATGACAAAAGTATTTTAATCTTGAAACTGCATTTTTCCCTCTCGAAACTCTTGAAATAAGTTTATTCATGTTTCAGTGCTCTTGTCTAATACCCTTCGGCTTTGCTGATCCCGCTGGCTTGTTTGAACTTAATTATCCAAACGTAAGTCAGAACTTTACAGTAAATCTATTGTTATAAGATTAAAAAGGATTTCAAAATCAAGCATTTTATTCAAAGCTACTTCTATTAAATGCAAATAAATAAGGGAATATTTTCCTTTTGATTAGTAGTTTGGTCCCAATTTTCTTTTTATTAACTTGAAGAAGTGGTAATAAGACCTATAAATACCTATATAATATTACCTACCTACTTAGTTAAAATAGCCCATTATTTTTTCTAAGTTTCCATCCAAATAAAAGGCATGTATCCCAATAGCAGGCAAAGTGATAAGCTAAATGAATAATAGTCGAAAATTAAAGGAATTTTTTTATAATGTCACGTACTGTTTACCCCATTATTTGGCCCAGAACTTTGTTCAGAAGGCATTGTGAAACTTTTCACAATCAAAGTGATTGCTATTTAGAAAGGTATTGTCAGAAAACCGGCTAGCACATATGAAAAGAGTTATAAACATCGAGGAGCTGAAAGATGTTATCAAGAATCGTGCCTTATGATGGTCAAAACTCTCTTAATACTAACGAAGTCGATATAATAAAGGACAATAAGGAAACAATATGCTATACAAAATCACTAAAGTTACAATTTTATTTCAGGTGAAAGATGACATTTATGAACAGCCAGTCAATCTAATGTCATCAAAAGTGGCACACGATAAGGTAAATTATTTGTTAACAGTTTTTCATACCTAGTTAAAACATACATCATACCTAGTCCTTATGACATAGCTAGCCTAATACAAACTAACGACCGGTGAGCAAATATAGCGAGTCCCTTACAAGAGTAAGCGTAACATATGTAATAAAGAGGACGAGCCAGTGAAGAGTCCCGTACAACAGTGAACTCAATACAAAGTAAGACTTTCTTACCTACCGACAAATCATGTTTTACCTCTTCCTCATGTTATTCTTCTAAACTCATGGCAAATGCGTGTATTACATAAAAAAGCTTCTGTGCTTTTGGGCGGAGTTGGGTTGGCTGATGTAAGATAACTTTTCATGCACCATAGACCGATTAGAGTGTCCAAGTACGGAAAATTAGAGCTCCCTAACTTTACTTACATAAAAACATAAAACTTCGCGACTTATTATCCCACGTAAATTACTGTGACGACTTATAACGTAATACATATTTTAATTGCTTCAGGTTCAAAGCGAAGGTGAAATCCACTCTCGGCCTGGGTTCGACTCTTGGGCTCCATACGATTTCTCTCGATTTGATGCTTACTTGGACAAGAACAAGGGAGAGAGCGCTGAACATAACCGTATCAAAAGACGTGCTAAGGTAAATAATAAACAACCGAGAACACATAAGAATTGCATTAGTACTACTTTAATAGACACACTCATACACATCCGCGATTTCAATCTTGCAAGTCAACAATCCAAACAATACACTCTTCTTCTGCTTATATACCCTTCCGACGTTTGTTCTAGGATAAACGGAAAGTCCATATAGAGACGCCTTGTTAGTAAAAAGTTCTGGGTTATTACCAATCTTCTTTATCATTTTGATATTAAGTTTACGTGATGCACTTCCAACAGTGGTAAACAATAGTGGTCCAAATCGAGATAGTTATGCATGTGAGGATAACAGTGTCAAAGTTCTAGTTGTTTTGATAGCATTACAATTGGAAGTTGATGAGTAAACCACCGTGACCCCATACGATGAATATGTTTGGTTGAGATTTAAGATGTCCTCAGAGGTCTCCAAACGCCTTACGATCCACTCTCGGTTCGGGAATTTACCCGTAATACACTTTTCGACTCTTGAGATGTGAACAACTGATACTAGTCAGATGGATTCGTTTAGAATTTAGCTTCAAAATGTAGTTGTACAAGTAAGACAGTTGGGAAATAAGTTTAACGGAAAACGGAATAATATTAAGAACACAAAAAAAAAAGAATTTTCTTCAATGCATGCAAGGCCTAATGAAGTTCTTATGATCAACTTAGTCAAAGTCAAGTATTTTAAGAGATTACGTAAGAAAATATGCTTGTATAATTTTTAAGTAAGAGTATATGACCGATAACAAAGAGCGACATACTTTAATTAAATTGTACCAACCAAACGAAAATCATTTACACTATCAATGTTTTGTATCGCAGAACATCCGGAAATTTAACACACTCAATGGACCGAAGATAAGAGAGAGACCACACCATTATCTATACCCTGAGCCAGTGAAGGACCGAGTATTAGACTTCAGTACTACCACAAAGAAGCCAGGCATTTTACCAGATCAAATGAATCCTGGAGTCATATTCAGAGTCAGAATGTCAGATGCTATACTTAGGATAAAACAGCGTATGTACGAAGATCCCGAAAGGCATATAGAAGCTGATATAATCTACACGAATTTGATAAAAAAGGTCGTCATGGATGAAATAACAAAGTTTCACAATCTTCTTTTAATGTATAAAACGGATAAAAGTATCAAAGAGCATTTGGGAGAATGCGGTGGAAGAATTTATAAGTTTATAAGTTATATGACGATTAAAGTACACATATATTGCTTGTTTGATGCTCTGTGGATAGATGGCAATCCTTATGTGATAGGCGATGAATATTCTGTTACACCAGTAGAAGTGCCACCTATGTTGCAGTGCGATGCCGCTGAATGCAATTCTGTTGTATTCGTTGATTCAATAACTGAACCGAAAGATGTAGAAGAATAGTTTAAAGATAATCTTGAAAGTGTCCGTTTGTTATCGTCATGTTATTTTTCAAATACTTCGCCGATTGAAATACATATGAATATGCTGAAGTTGATTTTTTTTTCGGATTTCTGCTATTCTATTAGGTGTTGGTTGAAAAATAAATATTAGTCATCTGTATCACGTTTTTACAGATGACTAATATAATACCAACAATATTATTTATCACCAGTGGTCGAAATTAGGTAGAGTTATTCATGTACTTACACTGATTTCATACAGCGAAAGAATAAAGTGGATATGCCCCAAATCCCGAGATTAATTTTAAAGAGCAGAAAAAATCCGTGATTTTTTAAATAAAAAGTTATTTACTTTTACACAATTTAAACTACTGCACGCACGACGTTAAAAAACTTACATCAATGAAAGAAAGAAATAAAGAAATCCCGGGAAGGTCCACATTAATATCAACATTTCGATGCAAGTATATAAATAACTCTACCTAATTCCGACCTCTGTCTATCACACACTTAACAAATAATTTTATAATTAATTAAACATGATATGAGATATAAGGAACGAAATCAGTGACTTTGTGCTTCTTTAATGTTACATAATTACGATAATTTAGATTGCACTTTAAGAGAAATTAATTTTGACTAAATATCGAATGACCTACGACTTTTCAACAGCTCGAATTATTTAGTATTATTTATTAGTTAATACTATATAGGTATTAAAATTTACCAGTTATAACGTATTCTCATAGCTTCATTGTATCTATTGCAATCGATTTAAATGTTACATTTGAAAGATATTTTCGAACTTGACGCTACAACTATTTGACATGTAATAGCAATTGCGATCGCGATGTTTCTTTTTTAAAAGTTATTAACCGCAACGTTTATTTGATGTTAATCGGAATTGTCTAATTCAAGTGATAGCTTCAAATATCTATGAAAATTAATTGGGAAATATCGAACGAAATGAATTGTCTATGACATTTATATCATTCAAATCATTATTTTAATTGTGACTTTAAAATTTACACGATTCTATTATTATAAATCATTATCACAGCCGCTATACGTTTGAAATGGATTAAGATAGTTTTTTAAATTACACAATTAAGCCACAGGTATTACCTATTATCTAAGATACACCGTTGTCCTACGCGGTCACCGCGTTGTTTCTCTTTAAACGGTTAGTTTGTGTGCACTTAATACAAATAATTATTTAGAACAAAAGTTGGCGTTTTAATTACACATATTTTCTATCTAGATATTAACATCAATAGAGTTATAAAATCTTGGGCCTCATTGTCTAATTTTTAATCTATCGTAAACCCTTTCAATTTGACATATGAAAGATATACACGAACTCCACGCTACAACTATGTGACATGTGACAGAGATTCCGATGTTAATATTTAGTTATGTATATGACTGTATGGCTTAGTTCCTTCGCCTGTCCCATGGACGAATTATAATACTACTTAGTTATGTATATAACTCAGTGAAATTGGCAAATGGATAGCCCGATTGCTCAGTGGTTAGTGCGTTCAGTCTGCGATACGGTTGATAAGCAACCCAACCAACCCACAAGGGCTGGTCATAGGATGGATGATCAAAAATATATTGTCTCGATATCCTCCGTACTACGGAAGGCACATTAAGCCGCTGGTCCCTGCTGCAGCTGTAGTTAACATTCACCAATCCGCACTTAGCTCGCATGGTGGGTCATAGCCCAATCACCCTATTCAATTTGATTAGATTCAATGCATAGGGGAGGCTTGAGCACCAGCAAGGGGACATTATTAGTTGGTGACGCTGATGATATGGACATTATAATCAAACAAAATAACATGGACGCAATCTATAGATACATTCGTTTCGACTTTGAGCTGACCAAAAGGTCATCATCAGCCCTTTTACATCCCCACTGCAGGGGCTCAGGCCTTCCTTAAGCTTGGTTAAGGAGGATGGGCCATGACCCTCCACGCTGGCCCAATGCAGACTAGAGGGTGTTAACGACTGCAAATGCGGCCGGGACCAACGGCTTAACGTGCCTTCCGAAACACGAATTAGCTCGAGATAATAATTTTTTGGTCACCCATCCCGTGACCGACCCTTGCGAAATTTGCTTAACTACAACGATCGCGGGCCGCGGCGATTATCCTCTATGCCACCGAGCTAATAATGTTGATCAAATATATACCAAATCGTAGTACTTTAATAATTTTGGCAGAGGAGGAGAGGTCGCGGTGGACGACGAAGAGGAAGGCAAAGGGTCTCCACGTCACCGCCAGAAGAAAACGAGGTAAGTAGGATCTGATAGAAAAAGAACATTAAGCACTATGTGCGAGTAAGAAAACATGAATTCAAAAGTATTATCAGAGTATTTTAAACTCATTTTAATATGATTTATCTAGTCTGGAGTGTTAAAAGCTACGAGTATTTAAAAAATGTAAATAACACAGTCATTTTAATAATTTGAGACGAGAAATATTGTAATGAGAAAAATAATGGTAAGAAACTCAAAAAGAAACTTCTTTCGTGGCTAAATTGATAATGAAATAAATGATACGAGTATAAATACAAGAACTTACAATGTTGCATTTAAATTAGTAAATTGTGATATTTTGCATTCATAATCCCATATTACATTTACCTTATAAAAATTAAAACTTTGAAACCTTGAGGTAGATTACCTGAAACTTAATGAAAATACGCTTTCAACTACAATAGCCAGTGTTTGAGAAAACAATACATTTACTCAGATTGCGAAAGATTACTCGCGGAATTAATAGCACGGTTGCCGAATAGAGTTAATTTTGTCGGTAACCTTTAAGAGTAGCTCGGTGGCGTAGTGGATTAGCGCCGCGGCCCGTGATCGTAGTCGTTAAGCAACTTTCGCAAGGGTCGGTCACGGGATGGGTGACCAAAAAATTATTATCTCGAGCTACTCCGTGCTTCGGAAGACACGTTAAGCCGTTGGTCCCGGCTGCATTTGCAGTCGTTAATACCCTCCAATCCGCATTGGGCCAGCGTGGAGGGTCATCATCCTCCCATCCTCCTTAACCATCCATAAGGAAGGCCTGAGCCCCTGCAGTGGGGACGTAAAAGGGCTGATGATGTTAACATTTATGCCTGCCTAAACATTTTAGGTTTACTTTACTATGACCAAGTTGACTAGATGCATTTGTGCGAACTCAACAACAATATGTTTGCGTACGAGTGAAAGTGATACGTTATGCGGGGTCATTGAACGAATTTCTCTCTGTTCGACGACTGTGCTTTAGTAGCAAGCTATAATATAAAAGGCAAACCTGACTGACTTATATATCAACGCACAGCTGAAACTACTGCACCTAGAAACTTGAAATTTAGTACAGGGGTTCCTTTAATTATGTAAGTTAACACAAAAAAAGAATTTTTAGAAATTCAACCCTCAAGGGGTTGAAATAGGAGGTCCAGTTTATATAGAATATTTCAATGTAGCTCACGCCGGCGAAGCCGTTAGCTGATAGCTAGTTTTGTATAAAATTAAAGAAATGTTTTGTGTAGTTAGCGAAGAATTCTTCGTCAACGGAGTTGCCAGTGGCGGCGAGGCGTAGCGAGACTTGGGAATCGCAACAAGGCAAAAGAAAAAAGAAGAAGGATAAAAATGACAAGATAGTTTTCGACACTTACGATCCACCGATGAAGGTACACAATTTAACAATCACTCTGTAGTAGATTGAAAACTGTTGTACCTATAAAAACATTTAAAAACTTGAGTCTCGAGAAAGAAAGATTATGCCTTGTGGTGATCACTTTCTTTGCATCTCGTGTAGAATCCGACTTGAAGATAAAATGTCATTAGCCTATTAACTGTCAGTATCCAGGAATGAGGAATTTGATAAACAGTTGAAAGGTTAATGAATTTTTTTGCGTTATACTCAATAAAATCATGATATCGTTAAAATATGTCTATAGAATCAAATATTTCAACGTTCGATGTTTATTTAACGGGTTTTAATAGGATAACCATTCTTAATTTTGTTCTTCAGACAATTTTATAGCATGAATTTAGTCGACAATTCTGTGGCTTCCATATTTTTAATTTACAGCTGTTTCTCCTGGAAACTAATTCCTAACTCTGAAGTATCTTACAGGATTGGGAGTCAACATTCGTTGAAATGCCGAAGGACTTATACCAAGCTCACCTGAGGCCTGGTGTCATCTTCCGTATCCATATGTCAGAAGCAATACTGAAGATGCAATATAGGAAGTAAGATTTTTTGTATTCTTAGTTTTAAAGGACTTTTGAGCTTATCATGTCAGGCCAATCATAACCAAATAACAATATATTGGTAATAATAGATATAAATAAATAGTTTTAGCTAAGTGGCATAGTGGATAAGCGCCGCGGCCCGCGATCTTTGCTGTTAAGCAACTTTCACAATAGCTAGTCACGGGATGGAGGAAAAATATTATCTCGAGCCCCTCCGTGCTTCGGAAGGCACGTTAAGCCGTTGGTTCCGGATGCATTGCAGTCGTTAATACCCTCCAATCCGCATTGGGCCAGCTTGGTGGGTCATGGCCCATCCTCCTAAACCATCAGTAAGGAAGGCCTGAGCCCCTGCAGTGGGGACGTAAAAGTGTTGAAGATGATAATAACGACACATTTTCAGGAATGTTATATATGGACACATAACTTTGTATACCAACAATATTCTAGTTACATCCGACAACGGAAATGCTAGGACACATTGAGAAACACCTAATATCCTTGTTATCGTACTTGAGATTAAAAAGTAAATTTGAATATTAGATTTATTTATTGTTTCTTCAGTTATGGTGAAGATAAAGACGAATCAGTGATAGAAGCAGACGTTGAATACTTGCGTCTCACGAGGAAAGTCATAAATGATGAGATCACCAAGTTCGAAGATCTGAAATGGCTGGTGGGTTGGTTCAATAACCGATCTGAGCTAATAAAGGAGCACATGTGCAATACAAGATACTTTTCAGTAGGTAAGATAAATTGATAAATGATGCATACATCCGAACTACTTTACAAAACGATAAGACACCCCATCCCGAATTACCTACATTAGTATTTCATTTCGTTGTGACTTTCTTTTCCGTTCCAGTCTGTCTAAATACCATCGAATACCTTGTCTAACTATAATTTTCATTACGAAACTTATTTTTGCATGACATTAGTTACATTTCATCAATTTAGCTTTAGCTTTAGCTTTAGTATCACAACACTAGAGTAGTTCCGTGCTATTAGCATATTTTTGATGAGACTACATATAGCAAACAACTAATTTTACATGGCGAAACTAGTGTCGTAACACCATCTGCGTATAATAAAGCGTCGACGTTGACAACCATTGTCTCAGTCTCAGAGATACCGTTGATTGCACGCCATTATGAAACTAGTTTCATATGTGCTAAAATTAGTTTTGTGAAACTTGTTTCATCATGCATGACACTAATTTCGTAATGTAAATTCGGATTTAGTATTGATAGTTTCACTATAATGCCATTAAGTTAACATTAGCAGAATTGATGTTATATCTACCTTCTTTCCATGATCTTCCGCTATGATATCCCTCTATAAATTCGAAACACGTTCTAAAAGCTGGAGTAACGGGTCGAGATTATAATATGTGTAGGTATACAATATCTCACTCCCGCCCCTTTCTTGAGTTTCTCCAATTCATCATGGTATGTGGGCTGATAAGTAAGTCTTTTTTTGCTAACGCAGAAGAAGTGCACTTTTGAGGTACCTACTTAAGCCTCAAAATAAAACTCTCTGTCATAGAAGACCACCATGAAGGGTAGATCAAAGTGTGGATAACCTACTTAGTAAAACCTTAAGTTTATGGACGAAAGGCACCTGATTTTGCTTATCATAAATAAGATATATTAATGCAACCAATTTAAATATAGTTAATAACACATAATTAAAGGAGCTCCTCCAACGATGTTCACGCACGCCGAAGAGTACATGAAGAGGATGTGTCTGTTCGATAACGTGTACATAGATCATATACCGTACGTGATCGGCGAGGACAGCTCCCTGATGGCGGCGGTGGCGCCACCTGTGCTGCACTGCGACGCCGCCACCTGCACCTCCGTGCCGTTCATAGACAGGTGGGTAATTTTTTTTGCTGGTGACCAAACTTCTACGAATATTACGGAGAAAAAAAGCAGTTCTTCAGTTTTACCGTAGATAAAGCGGACCAATGGCATGATTTTGACATATCCAACATTGAAGGTATTTTTGTACCCTTAGAAACTGCAAGATTGTCTCATAAAAAAATAAAATTCATATATAACTGAATTTTATAAGATCCACGCAAATAATTGAATGATAAATATTTTTGCCACTTTCGTAAAAGAATCATGTCCACTTTCCATACATTGATTGACCTGTCCCATGTTTTTTAAAAGGTCACGTGACAATTTTAATTAGTTTTTATCTAAAATAGAATAATATCAAAGCATTTTTTATCTGGAGCCCAGGGAGATTCGTAATTTGTAAATAATGGTTATATCAGCTGTCAAAACTAGAAATACTTGTGAAGCTACTTTAATGCATTTAAATAAAAGCTTTTCATAGTTTGACTCGTAAATGTAGAAATAAATTAATATATAATTGTTTATATTAATTAATATACATTTTTTACCTTATGATAAAAGAATATTCTTCCGTAGTAGATGAAATGTAACGTAGCAAACCGTCATGGTCTTACGAAATATTTTTACAAATAGGTATTTATACTTTTCAATAAAGATGAAAATTTGTTCTAATGCTTAAAAAACCCACTTTGTCCCTAACGTTCTGAGATGGGACTCGAATCCTTCGATGTGCTTAAAAAAATTACGTTGTATATCATCCTATAACCGACCTTCGTGAAAGCTGCTAATTTCGGCGCCATCTTGCACGAAATGAATACCTACGTATATTTATTTGTCCACAGCATGATGTTCGATGAGCGTCTATCCCGCACTAATGTACGCACGGTGACGAGATGCCAAGCCAGTTGTCGTGCTCACTGTAAGAATGATGCAGACTGCCTCAAACGATGCTCAGATAGATGCCTACGCGCCGATTAATGCAACGATTTTGAAATTAATAATAAATAAATTAACACTGTTATAATTTTTTTTTCAACCCAACTCGTCGTCGTCATCGTCAGCCTATAAAACTGAATTTAGATTACGAAATTAGTGTCACGATGACACAAGTTTCGTGAAACTAACTTTGGGACATATGAAACTAGTTTTGTGATATTGGTGTAAGTTTAACGTTAACGCGTTCACTAGTGACTGCGTGTCTTTGCTAAATAAATTTTGTTTAAATCGAATCGAAAATGGACCGAAACTACAGTTTTTAATGGTTTTCCTATTCTGCAAAGTGACATACGATACAATTCCAGTTCTATTTTAGCTGGAATTGTATCGTATGTCACTTAGTAGAATAGAAAAATCATTAAAAACTGTAGTTTCGTTCGTTTCGATCAGTTTTCGATTCTATTTAAACAAAATTTATTTAGTAAAATTGGCCCCATGTTCCCGGTAGTTACCGCTAGGGGCTCGGGGCTCTGTACCGAATTTTACATTAAATTTTTAACGCGCTCACGATCGACGGTGACCATGAGCGTCAAAAAAACTTACACTAAGCGCTCTGGTGGCGGCTCGAAACAAACTTCTAGTGATTGCTGAATATGTGGGATATACGGCTAATGGTCAGTTACACTTTTAATGACGCTTTTAAGCTGTAATGAATGTCATATTTTATGGGTAATATCATTTTAAACAAATGTACATTTCGATTGACGTTTCTATAATTGGTTGTACGTTGGAAACATAATATTCATTTATCGGATAATAAACATTATTTCATCAACTAGTGTACAGGTGATACGAGCTAATTTTAAGCGGACGACGTCGCGGAAAGAGACCTAGTATTTTAATTAAGTAAATGTTTCAAAACTTCTCAAATATAATAAAATAACATTTTGAGATAAGGAAATGTATTGAATCATTATTTTAAATATAAACGGGAAAACCAATTAATATAATTAAATTGTATATGTAGTGGATATTTCAGGGTTAGATGCGATTATTTAATCACATCATAAAATATAGGATGTCTATTAAAGACGATGAGAAATGGACAGCGCAGTTTTTTTTAAGACGATGCTTGCTTACACCTAAAATCACATTCATGTGATTTTGTACAAATAAATAACGTCCAAATTAACTATAAATAAAAATTAGAAAAGTAAATACATCATATTTAAGGGTTTTGTCACAGCCGAAACTTGAATTTATAAAATATTATTGCCAGAATTCAATCACAAAGTTACCCATAAAATTCACTTTTTTACGATTTCTTCTCATAATTATAGTCTTATTCCTATAAAGAAAATTGATAAGTATTGCAGTCGAAGAATATATGCAACAGTTTTACATCAATGGTCAAGGTTTGTGAATAACTATATAAAAATAGTCATTTAGCCTTTCCCTATCTATCTCATTGCCGGGATGAAACAACATTTCAGCAAAATAGTATTTTTTTATTTTAAATAAAAATTAAATATTTATTGCCATGTCAGCACTGGATCCGTGTTGTGGGTCATGGTCTTTTCTCCCTATACCATTCGATTACATCTATGAAGCACTGTTGATCTATAAAGCATGAAGGAACAGCTATAATGTCCCCAAGCACCAGCATTGGGGAAATTATAGCTGTTGATAAGGATGAAAGCAGAACTTACGACCCCCACACACCCACCATAAATCATTTGGAATGTCCCATAAACTGCTTGAAGTGTGCGGGCACTAGTTTACAATAATATCGTCGCGTACTTTCCGTACAATAACCTACTTATTACGGTAAAATATCTTACAAAATTATTGATTCGTTTGCTTCAGTCCAGTTCGTCCAACATGCGTCTCTTATTTGTAAGTTGCATTAGTTTTATTTTATTTATATATATATATATATAAGTTTGTCTACGTCATGCATGCAATAGGTTATTGAAATGGTTACAATTTCTGATGCATGTAACTTATTTGTATTTGTATACATATACATAGAAATTCGGACACAAGCAAAATAAATTAAATTTACAAGGCTTGTGTCCTACAAGTGAAAATACAGGTTTATCTATAAGGGAAAATATTACGCTTTGCAAACTTGAAAAAAGTAGAGAAAATCTACTACAAAAATTTGCTAAAATACATAAGGCATTAAATTAGACATAAATAATGTTACAACTTTCATTATAACAGCTATAAACATAAACGCACAAATAACAAAGATATTACAAAAATTGTCCAGACGCCCATACATTTTTCGCTACTGTTGCACCGTGTGACGTCACTGAGTGCCTTGAATTTGTAGGTAGCATTTTCGGCCAACTAGCAGCAGTTCTACAAACACAGCACCGTATCTCCGAAACTATTAATCGCAGACATGCTGTTACTTCGACATTATTTCTCAGATGTTAATGGACTATTTATTTATGAAATAAAAAAAATAGTTGTCAACTAGCCTAATGCGCCAGCAACTTTATCCGTGTGGTCCTGAATTATACATAAAAAAGCTCCTTATGAGTCACTAGCTATTCAAAAATCCGCATCAAAATACATTGCTTGTTTTAAAGATCTAACCATACATAGAAACAGATGGAAAGCGACTTTGTTTTATAAGATGTTGTGATTATTGATAATGCAAGTACCGATAAATTAATTAATTATAACAAAATCGAGAACTTTATACCAAACATAGATAACTCCTACTTCTAGCTCTGTTACTATAGCTCTTTATTTATTTATTTAACTCACAAACTTACGACGAAGAAAACTATTCCCTAATCTGTTATTTTATTGTCATTATCATGAGCCTTTTTACGTCCCCACTGTAGGGACTCGGGGCTTCCTTATGGACAGTTATGTGGGTGGGTCATGATGATCATCTGGCCCAATGCGGATTGGAGGGTATTAACGACTGAAATGGCAGTTGCACTGAGATTAGCTAGAGCTAATTATTTTTCGGTCACTCATCCCATTGCTTATCAACAACTGTCATGGCCGCGGCCCTTATCCACTACACCACCGAGCTACTATAATAGTTTTTAGAGGATTAAATAACATGTGAATTGAAATAATTTTCACTGAGCGTTACTTTCCTTTTATAAATTCTCGTCATCTACTATTCTGGAAATTCGAGCGTTAATATAGAGAACACATCGGAAGTAATGGAAAAAACTCGAAACTGATCAGAATATGTCACGTTTGTTGTATGAGAGCCCCCTTAAACATTTATTTTATTTTTTTAGTATTTATTTTTATAGCGGCAATAAAAATACATTATCTGTGAAGATTTTAACCGATACAACCTAGTGACAGACGAACAGTCAGACACACAGCAAAGTCTTAGTAATAAGGTTCTCGTTTTACCATTTGGGTATGGAACCTTAAAAAATAGATTGGCTACTTTCCTTTAAGGCTTAACAAAGTTGCCGGCTACGATATGCCTCTAATTGTTGTAAATAAATATATGTCTCTCTTATTTAGACTTTCTATATTTTTTCGTTTATTTTCGAGTCTGTTAATACTTATTCTTAATGAATAACAGATCAGGAAAATTGATAAAAAGAAAACAACATATCAACTGTTTGTTGATATGTTGTTTTCTTTTTATCAATTTTCCGCATTCCTACTCAAAGACTTGTTATGACGTCAAAAAATGCGTACTGTATGACAATCCGTATATACAATCATCTACCTAATCAGATAAAAACACTGACATTTACTAAATTCAGAAAGCATTTGTTTGACTTTTTAATTGATAAACTATATTATACAATGAATGACTTCTTTTAAGATAAAAATGTATGACATATAATCGTAAATTTGTTTTTCTAGGTAACATTTTCATTGGCATTGACATTTTGGATAATTTATATAATTTTAATTGACATTTATTTTTTAATTATTTGATAAAGATGCTGACATTTTTTTATTTTTTTTTTATATCAATTTTAGTGACAATTTGTATTTTATTTTTTGGAATTACATATGTTGACAGCTTTATATTTCTTTTTAATAATGACTTGTAATATTTGCACGGAAAGTGACTTCAAATTTTAATGAAGTCATTTTTCAATCTTGACGCTCTGTATGAAATAAAACAGGGAGAAAAAAGCAGCCTTTGCCGAGTTTCTTGCCGGTTCTTCTCGGTACAAGGTCTCCCGCCGTAGATTTACGAACCGATGGCGTAGCTCTCGACTTTCACAAGTGCTTGTAACAGCCTAGACTGAATAAATGATTTTGATTTTGTATTATTATTAATTATTATTATTGTTTATTCATCAATGGTTTCTCATTTCAGATGTCGATATTTGTCGTCGCGTCGATGACGGTGTCGGCAGAAATTGATAAAGACATTTCATCTTTGTTCGAACCAACAACTGTCAAAATATATACAGGTATTAAGTGTTTCTTTAACTCTTTATCTTCTATTCGTAACATGAGGGGTCATTCTGTAAAAAAAAAAATTTAAAGGAAAACAAGAAACCCCTGACTGAGTAAAAAAGAATTTAAAAAAGTACATGAAGAAATAACTTAAATGTAAAACTAAAAAGAAAGAAACAAGCCCAGTAGTTTAGAATTGTGTTAAGTAATACAGAACAGAACGACTCATAGTGGAAAGATTTGATTGGTAAAATTTGAATGGGCCCCGACTATGAGTCGTTCTGTTTTACTTAACAGAATTCTAAACTACTGGGCTTGTTTCTTTCTTTTTAGTTTTACTTTTAAGTTATTTTTTTTTTAATTCGTTTTACCGCAATCGGGTTTTTTTGTTTTTCTTTAAATTAATATTTTTAATTTTTTACTTTTTAGTTACGATTCGTTGACTTCGTTATAAGTTGGTTTTCGCAATCTAGTCATTTCATTGAGGGAGTTAATATCGTAGGGATTATTAAGTAACTTGCGGTCTAAACTACTGATGATTAGTCCCTCTAGACACTCTAGAGACCTAACTCGGCTCAAAGTTACATGCTTTATTTTTTTTACCAAAAATATTTGTTTTTTATGCTCTTGTCACTGTTTTTTTTTTGTTTGTATATCGTTTATACTTTAAATAAAAACTTAAATCAATAAGTAAGAAAATTAGCAAGAATGATTGTTTTGTTAAACAACTTTAAATCGTTATATATCCTAAACTATTATTTTAAATGAAAATGATAAAAGGAACCTAAAAATGATTTTAAAATACCAATCCAACGACACCCCACTTGATATAGTTCATCCAATTTTATTTTTTTCGTATTGAAAATATGGCGTCTGGTTGTCGCTGTGGTGAATTTTGATTACTGTCATGTCTTTAGTGACAAGGTTAAGACGAATCGATTGATGTAAGAATCATCAAAATCCGCTTACGCATTTGGTCTCTAGAACGCCACATAGAAACAAACATACATACATAGACTGATAAACACATTACCCTCCTTTGCGTCGGGCAGTCGGGGAGAAATTCCGAACCTGAATTCGTTTTCAGTCACGTGTTCGAATTCATGTCATTTAATGAAAAAATTCTATTGGATACATCTTTATATATATAAAAAAGTGTCATGATGTATGTTGCCAATAAACACCAAAACTACTGAACCGATTTCAATCAAATTTCACATGTACCCGTATTTGGTCAATAATTTATTAACGCCCATTTAATTATTTTCCTGCTCAATAAAATATTCACTGAACCATTTCATTATTTTTATTACTCATTTTTGATTACTTTACTGCTTAGTTTTAAGTGCTGAACTAGTTATTAAACGTGCCATTTATTATTTTTTACTTACCAAAACTGTTATTTACAACGGCCTCTTGAATTCAGTGCCATTTTTTAAGCGTTTTTCATTAACAATCAGCTGTGATTTAGCTCTTCTTTTATACAGCTTAATTTTGCACTTTTTTTTCTTTTCAGCCGCTACATACGCCCCTCCAACATCTAACACGACAGATTCAAGTAAGTATTATATCTCTATATACTCTTTTCTATACTGTATTATGGGCTCAGACAGATGGGCTTCTTACCCACTGGGCACAATGGCCAAGTGCCCTGGGCCCCGCGATCGATTGGGCTCCCTAATCCTTGTTTGATTACCCAAACATAACATATGGCTTAATTTTAAATCTCAATTACATTGAATTAAACTAACGCTTCAAACTCAGGGTAAAATCAAGAGATATTGTGAGCAGTTTGAAGATGTCCACCACCAGCCCTTTTATGTCCCCACTGCATGGGCTCAGGCCTTCCTTATGGATGGTTAAGGAGGATAGGCCATGACCCTCCACGCTGGCCCAATGCGGATTGGAGGGTAGATGTATTTGAAGATGTGATTTTGCTAAATTAATATCTAGGGATAGCTCTTCAATATGCATATCAGTTTAAGGCCTAATCGTGGATGATTTTTACTGTAGCTTGTCTAAAGAAAGAAAGGAAAAGAGCAAATTTTGCAGTACTCTTTGTATTAGAACAAAATAGTATTATTTTATGGTTCTTATGTGCTCTAATAGGTGCAAGACGGCCCGGGCTTCTTTTTTTTTACCCTGAACATCTCGTGGATGTGTTTGTAAAATGCGTGGAAGGAATCGAATCCCTGAGGATAACTGGGCTCATCGCTTTAGTTGATGGTTCCATCGCATTGGATGGTATTGGTATACACGCGAGTAGCTCGGTGGCGTAGTGGATAAGCGCCGCGGCCCGCGATCGTAGTCGTTAAGCAACTTTCGCAAGGGTCGGTCACGGGATGGGTGACCAAAAAAATTATTATCTCGAGCTACTCCGTGCTTCGGAAGGCACGTTAAGACGATGGTCCCGGCTGCATTTGCAGTCGTTAATACCCTCCAATCCGCATTGGGCCAGCGTGGAGGGTCATGGCCCATCCTCCTTAACCATCCATAAGGAAGGCCTGAGCCCCTGCAGTGGGGACGTAAAAGGGCTGGTGATGTGGATGGTATTTAGGAAGAAACTATGGCGTAATTGTTTAATTTAAAAGTCTATTGCAATCCTTTGACTTAGTGAGTGGGACTAGGAGAAATTAAAATATCTATTGTATTTATTTAATCGTATTTTTCTTTTTCTTTTCTTTTTTAGTTAGTTTTATTGTATTTTCTTATTTTGTGTTTCTACTGAGTGTACCGCTTGTGAGGCCAATAAAATTTGTTTCTTTCTTTCTTTCTTTCCTTTTCAAAAGTATGGCTACTGAGATACCGATTATGGAATTATGTAACATTCGAAGTTGCAATCACTTTCGGAACAGGAACAAAAGATGAATTAATTGATCAAGAGACATTATAAAAGCTTAGTAACTTAAAGTAATATTAATATAACGTTAATTAGAATTATCTAAGGCAAGCGTTAGATAATTTCTATTAAATAGTTGTAGCATGAAGTTCGTGAATATCATTAAATATGAAATTGAAAGAGATCGCGATTAATTTTAAAAAGTATACAATTAAGCCTCTGATATAAAACTTAGAAAACAACATAAATACAATTGAAGGCCTATTCTGTTTCTCCGAAAACGAAATTTCGTTTATTTTCCAAAGAAACGCATTTTTGACTGTTGATTAAGCAATGAGGGTTCCGTTTTTTTCTTTCTCTAGATGTGAATGTCTTCAAATCAAGAGTAAATAGGCTGTTACTAGGTTAATGCGCTATACCCATGGCTTCATCACCACTTACTATCAGGTGGGATCGTAGTCAAGCGTTAACCTAAAAAGTATAAAAAAAAGAAAAAAAATGGCGCAACAGTCGCGTGAGATCCTGGCAAAGTTTGTTTACTATAAGATTCAACTTAAATCAGATGTCATCTAACATAAACCAACCATTTTATTAAAAAACACTATGATGATGATGTTAGTAAATAATTAAAAATGTTTTTGGCAGGTATGAAATTGAAGCAAGCTTGCATAACCGAGGATAACCAGGCCGGATATTGTGTAAACCGGATTCTCTGTAAAAACAAAACCATCGTCACCAAGGGGACGGGATTGAAGCCAAGGTAATTATCAAATATTTTATTGGACACAATCTTTTATGAACTTTATGTGGCACTAGCTTTTGCCCGCGACTTCGTCCGCGTGGTAAAGTTACTTTGAGCAACATTTCTAACGAATATTTATTCATTATATCGAGTAAAATACCTGAAATAAAGTTTCATCCCCTATTTCATCCCCTTGAGGGTAGAATTGATCAAAATCTTTTCTTAGGGGATGCCTACGTCACAGTAGCTTTATGCATGTAAAGTCTCAGCCCGATCGATTTAAAATTGTCAAAGTTCTGTACAATCTTTCATCCCCTATTTTATCCCCTTGAGGGTAGAATTGATCAAAATCCTTTCTTAGCGGATGCCTACGTCATAACATCTACCTGCAAGCCAAATTTCAGTCCGATCCGTCCAGTAGTTTGCGTTAATAGATCACTATGTCAGTCAGTCACCTTTGAATTATACATATTTAGATTAATGGCGTAACTAGATCACTCTATCCGTAGCTAGGAGGGGGGGGGTCCTGTATCAAAATTAGTTGGGGATCAAATGGAGGGTAAAAAAGTTGGGCTACACACTTTAGGGGTCCCGTATTATTGATACGGAGGTAGCTACGCCCCTGGTATAGATGCTGACCGATGAATCTGAGAATGCGAAGCAAAGTCAAAGTCAAAATAATCTGTATTCAAATATACTTCTTAAAAGTACTTTTGAATCGACCAACTTTTTTCCCTACCGCTCGTTCAGGACGTCTTTTGGCTGTTAAGAAGAACGAGCAAGAAACTCACCAGCTCTAATAGGAGTAATGACATTTACAAAAACTATGTCATTACCACATTATAAATAGAGAGAGAGAAAAAAATATTATGGTCTTATAATGATAATATAACTACTAACACATAATCACCTATATACCCAATGAGTAGCTCGGTGGCGTAGTGGTTAAGCGCCGCGGCCCGCGATCGTTGTCGTTAAGCAATTTTCGCAGGGGTCGGTCACGGGATGGGTGACCAAAAATTATTATCACGTGCTACTCCGTGTTTCGGAAGACACTTTAAGCCGTTGGTACCGGCTGCATTTGTAGTCGTTAATACCATCCAAACCGCATTGGGCCCGCGTGGAGGGTAATCCTACTTAACCATCCATAAGGAAGGCCTGAGCCCCTGCGGTTGGGACGTAAAAGGGCTGATGATTATGATGATGATGAATGATAATATTAATGATAAGTAATTTGCGCATGTAATTTGGTTAACCACTAAGCTACTCAGGCCCCAACAGGACTTAGAATCTTTAAAGTACTTGTTACATTTTTGGCTACTACAGAGCGTATTTTCATCGATGTTCAGGCAATCCACCCAAACAGCCAAAGGAAATATTTTTACAAATATTTAAACTTTCGATAAAGATGTTCTAATTATTATATTTATAATTAATAATGTATGTTTGTCCGTCAGGTAGAATATTTAAAAATATTAAATGCGTATTTTTTATTTTTGCATAATCATTAACTTACAGTTAAAATATCACATGACGTCACGCTTTTGTACATTTTCTACAAAACTGTGACGTAACGAGCCTCTCCACACCTTAATGCTTTTTATCTAAACTATTTCTTGTTAAATTAAAGTTAAAAAAAGTATCTAATATTTTTCTATCATCTGTCTGATGGACTAAATATCGAATTAATCTTTTTTACCCACCCTTATCTACATCATCCTTATTGTCTAAATATAAAATCATTGCTATCCCTATCAATTTAACATTTGGAAGATATTCATGAAATTCACGTTGTAACTTTATGGCCATTGCGATCGCCACGTTTTCTTTAAAAATATTTAATCATCGATTTCGTTATTTTAACGCTAATTGGGATTGTCTATGGCGAGCGTTTTGGAATTAACAAGAAGGCATTCCCTACTCGTCATCACCGATTTCGCTCAAATTTATAGGACTTGTAGGACTTGGTTAGATATAAAATTACCCAAAGTGGGAACTCCAGATGGCCAAGCGTTTAGAAATTTTTTTTTTTTCGCGTTTTTGACCATTAGATTACTAGTCGGAGCTCTTACCGCTACGCCAGCTGCTGGTTGGTAAACTTGTTAACATTTATAGCTTATATGGTGAAAAAGTCGCGAAAATATATTTTTTTTTCTAAACTCTTGGCCATCTGGAGTTCCCACTTTGGGTAATTTTATATCTAACCAAGTCCTACGTGTCCTATAAATTTGAGCGAAATCGGTGATGACGAGTAGGCAATGCCCCCTTGTAAGATTGTTTCGACGGGTTAAAGTCAGATTTTTTTTTATGATCTACAAATCGATTGCGATTTTTATAGTTACACAATTACACCAATCGTTATGACGATCGCTACACCTTTGAAAGGATTTGCGACAGATTTTCTAATAAGACAATTCTCGAGCTTATTATTATTCGCACTTCCGAGAACGTAAAACACTAAAAAGTATACTAATTACCATTTAAAAATTACGCGCGCCTTTATTTTGAATCGTTCCTGTTTCATTTGACAGATCTTCCTTTTCTTTTATTAATTCTGCCAATGCCAAGTGAACAAATTAATTTCTACATGGAAAACGAAAATGAAATTAATGCAAGATGGCGTTCAATACCAACAGGTCTTCCGCCAGCCCTTGCCCGCTGTCACAAGTGTGTTGCGCTCCAAAATCGTCGGTCAATACTCCTGCTCCTCCTGTTACAACTGCTCCATTGATAAAGACATCCATCACTCCATCCACCACAACCTACACAAAGGTAAAAGCTTATAGTATGATCTTTAATATAATACAAGCAGAGCGTCACCACCAAGGTGCCAACTGGAAATCGACTCTGCAATCAACTGCAGCACGGGTTGGCTCCTTTTGGACACCACATCGGGAACACTCTATAGCTAATTATTTTTCTTTCTTTCTGTCTTTGTTTCTTTCTTTATCTTCCCCGTACTCTTATCAAAGCAGAAGCGGATTTGCAGGCTTGGCCCCTCTAAGTACGCTTTTATAGCTCTCATAATTTAGATACCACATGTGAATTTACTTGCTTGATAACGTTTATTGAAATATAATAAAAAATTAATTGTGTTACTGTATAACGTCTGTCGGTAGAAAAGATTGTCTGATTGACATTATTCTCTGAAAATATCTGCATTGACATGTATTTGAAATAACAACTGCACGCGTAGCATGACAAACTCGAGAAACGCTTTTTCTACACTCATATATCAGTTTCTCGGGTTGAGAGTGAGATATAGTATGGGCGCACCCGAGAAAAGTGATATTTGAGTGTAGACAAAACGTTCTCGAGTTCGTCATGCTACGCGTGCTGATTTAACCCACTTCAATATCCAACAGGAGTAGATTATATGTTCGACGGCGTTGGAAGTTTTTTTAAATAGATAGATAAAAAGTTTATTTCTCAACAACACAAAATTACATCACTTAGGTACTAAACATTGACACGACAAAAGAAACAAAGAAGATATATATCTTTAATATTGTTTGTATGTTCGAGTTCCATCTCAGAGTATCAGGGACAATTTGGTTTTATTAAGCACTAGCTTTTGCCCGCGACTTCGTCCGCGTGGTTAAGTTACTTTGAACAGCATTTCTAACGAATATTTATACATTATATCTTGTAAAATACCTGAAATTAGATCCCCTATTTTATCCCCTTAGAAGTGGAATTTATAAAATCCTTTCTTAGGGGATGCCTACGTCATAGTAGCTTTAAGCATGCAAAGTCTCAGCCCGATCGGATTAAAATTAACAAAGTTTCATCCCCTATTTCATCCTCTTGGGGGTAGAATTGATCAAAATCCTTTCTTAGCGGATGCCGACGTCATAACATCTACCTACGTGCCAAATTTCAGCCCGATCCGTCCAGTGGTTTGGGCTGTGCGTTGAAAGATTATTATGTCAGTCAGTCACCTTTGAGTTATATATATTTAGATTTTTCATCGAGAATATTTCCATTTTACCATTGTAGTATCTATTTAAAGTCCCATATTATTCGTGCAATGTCTTCCTAACACATCAATGGTGATATATACATAATTTTGGACTACAGGCAGTTAGTATAATGGCAAATGCAAGTAGTTGTAATTCTATCGAGATACGAAAATTACGTAAACATTAGCGATATTTATCATCCAGTTATTGGCACACAATATTTATAGTATTATTATCTGGCTGCTCTAGACCCGCGCCTGCTGTGACCTTAGGGTAAATCCGCCATTGAGTATAGTTATAAACCTAAAGTAATAAATAACACAGTAATTTTCCAACCACCGAATTATCACAAAAACGAGCTTATTTCTTTTCCAGCCACTAAATTATCACAAAAATGGGCTTATTTATTTTCCAGCCACTAAATCATCACAAAAATGGGCTTAGTTCGAGATAAACTCGTACACAAAGAGTTCCGTGATATCTCATTAGTTTTATTTTAATTCAATTACTTTTTTTTTAAGTAAATTATTTACTTAATGATCTGTGATTATTTCTAACTTTTACCTGTTGCCGTTACCAACGTATAGCAAAAAAACATGTTTGCTGTATTTGAGACCCCTTTGAATATTTCTATTATTTTAATTATTTATTTTCAAAGAGAATTATATAATATAAGCGTCGCGGCCACCGAACGTTTAAGATGGATGACCAGAAAATTATTATCTCGAGGTACCCCGTGCTTCGGAAGGCACGTTAAGCCGTTGGTCCCGGCTGCATTTGCAGTCGTTAATACCCTCCAATCCGCATTGGGCCAGCGTGGTGGGTCATGGCCCATCCTCCTTAACCATCCATAAGGAAGGCCTGAGCCCCTGCAGTGGGGACGTAAAAGGGCTGATGATGATGATGAAATATTCTGGGATTATTTCAAGTGTCTACCTGTTGCAATCTTCAATATCGAGAAAAAATATCACGTTTGTTGTACAGGAGTCCCCTTAAATATTTATTTTATTCGATTTTTAAGGTTCCATACCTTGAAAGGATCTCTCTGTTGTCCGCCCATACGTCCATCTGTCAAGACCCTTTTTATCGGGTACGCGTGGAAATATCAAAGCTGAAATTCATATCAAATACTAAGGTCTACAGTCCCTTAAGCCAACTAGTACTGTGAAAAACGTATCTTTCTAAAGATTGAATCATTTGCATCTGAATCAGTGCAAAGATCTGAATCAGTTAATACTTCATTTGGATCATTTGAACTGGACCATAGATTCTCTTCATTCAAGAGCAGAGAGCAAGTACTTAATCGTGTTTCTAATATATTTAAAAATTACGTAATGATTTTCATTTACCTTTGATATGGAATGTTTATTTTTTAAAAAAAGCTCGTACCAAGATAAAACAAAATACTTAACGCTTTTTCTTTATTTCTTATTATAGAATTTTCAAAATAATCTTATACTTCTTCATACTTTGTTTAGGCTTAGGACTGACAATTTACACTAGTTTGTTCTATTCACATGTTTAAAGCAGTTCACTCATTTACTTATTTAATGTCACAATCAGTTTTTTCATTCTGAACCTTGATCATAATATATGATTCTTAAACAAAAATCAAGTAAGAGTAGTAAACAAACAAATAAAGCCGCTGGTTAGCCGACAAGTGTGCTTGTTACCGACACGCGGCTCAAAGTCGCCAGAATCTTTTCGAAAAGTTGCTTAGTACTGTTCATTCATTAGTTCATTCTTTCGTTCATTCGTGTCAGTGAGCGCCACTGATCCACTGATACACAGATCCATTCGGAGCGAACTTTGAGGTTAGGATCACTGCATTATTTTGCTGAACCGACTCCGCAAATTTACGAATCTCACTAGGGAATCAAAATCTACAGGTTACTTCCAGTGAATTCAGAATTTTGAAATTTGGTTCGATGCAACGATGCACAAATTAAGGAAAAATTGCGAAAATTGTAAATTTTTATTTACATCGTATAATAAAAATATTTTTTATAAATACCCACAAGTTTTATTATTTTTATTATTTTTATATTTTTCGATATAACAGCAACAGAACACATCACCTGTGAAAATCTCAACTGTCTAAAACTATAACGGTTCACGAGATACAGCCTGTTGACTGAAGGAGAAGGCGTCTTAGTAATGGGGTCGTAAACGACAACAGCGTTTCAAAACAGAGTCTGGTACATAGATATCTTCACTCTTAAGTCTTTAACAGACGAATTAGATCTCTACCTGTCTCTACTTCGTAATAAATAATAATTTTACTCATCAAATTTCCATTACAGGGTTGCGGATACAGAGGTGAAATATTAAGTCGTGTGAGTGGTGGTGACGAGGCCCAGTTCGCAGAGTTCCCTTGGGCCGTACCAATATTTAAGTACGTAAAAAACCTTCCTACTAATGGAGGATTATACCTATTGTATGTATAGAAAAATTAAACAGCCTTTAAAAGAATTGTAATAAATAGAGACGACAGAAAGGAGATAAATAATACTACTTATTTTTATCTTCAATAAAATCGAAACACAAGAAGCGGATGCACCTACAATTTTTTTAAGGTCGGTTCCAGCCATCTCTTCAGTAAAAAGTAAAACAGCACTATCAGAAAATCTATTTATTATTATGACATTTTTCTTATAAATTCTGCACAGTTGTTTAGAAGCGTATGATAGAGCAACATTCCAACGAAATTATATACATACACTTCGAATAGGGATGATGACTAATTTTTGTTTGTTTGTCCGTCAGGTAGAGTGTTAAAAATATGAAACACGTATTGTTTTTATTTTTTTCGTAATCATAAAATTACGGCGTTACATGGAGTTGAAATTTCGCATGACGTCACGTTAGAGTACGTTTTCTACTCAACTGTGACGTAGCGAGCCCCCACTCCTCAACTTTAATGCCTGTTGTCGCTATTTCTTGTTAAATTGAAGTAAAAAAAAAAATACGTATCTAATATTTTTCTATTATCTGACTGACGGACTAAATAGAATTGCATTTTTTTACCCAATCATCATCCCTGTTGATAACCTGGTTTTTTTAAATAAAGTTTATTAACACATTTGCAATAAGGTTATTCCACACTAGTATAATATGTTAAAAATTGTCGTTGAAAATATTAATATTTCCGCCAGCGGTTATGCCCACGTGGTCCTATATTATATTTATAAATCGTCCTCCTAAATCACGGATTAAAAGCCTTTTTGTAGATTATCAGATCTCAGCGTACAGACAGCGGAAAGCGACTTTGTTTTAAACTAGGAATAGACATAAGATATGGATTATTTTATAACGGAAAATATTGGGAACTAATATAGCACGTATATAGAGGAAATAGCAACATATAATAATTTTAGTTGGTTTTTCCCTGTACCTAGATACATGGCTTGATGTTTAAAGTAAGATCGTAAGAAAAGTTTTATTTTTTATTTATTAATCGTTAATTTTTCAATCATAACCGGTTTCTGAATTGAGAAAAGTACAAAATTTCAACTGATTAATTTTCAATAACTATTTTTTTTACGTTGACAGAATGTTGACGCATCCACTACAATTGTGACGTACATAAAATCGAACTCTTTTATATTATTTCTTTTTCTATTCGATATTCTATAAACTATCTAAAATGCCTTTTCATGTTTTTATTTTGGCTTGGCATCTTGATATTTTTTTGTACACATACTAAACTTATCATATTAAAATAAAACATAATTTCATAATAATTGAACCTTTTATTAATATAAAATTATGGTCGGTATAGACTCTAGTTACTCCTAGTTTTATCAAACTGATAGCTGATCATTGAAAAAAATCAAGAGTAAGGAGTCTCCTCTGACCCGGAGCCCCTTCCAGCTGGGGGTGTCTGTCATTTTGCCGACTTGCCACCCTGTAGTAACTCCATCGAGTATAAGTTAATTTGAATAATATATATATTCAGAAATAGTCACAGAACATAGAGAGAGAATAGAAGTAGTAAGTGGGCGGGGCACGCGTGGCTGGCATATGCGCTTTTACTCATATGACGCCCTTTCCTCGGTTTTATATTTGTCAGTCGTTCGTCAATCGTCGAGTGGTGATTTTACAGATTTTTTCTATGAAAAATGCCGTTTTTTGCTATTATCACTTGCAAAAAGCAAAGCAAAGTATACAATCTAACTAATGCAAACATTTCCTTTCACTGGTAAGTACAATTTTAGTGCTAAAATATAAAAAACGTAATAATTTGACAAAATTTCAAATAAAATATACATTGTTTGCTCAAACCAACATCAATGTTTCTAATCCCGTTTCTAGACAGCAATGTAAATCATATTGTGCACTTTTGCAAAAAAATAGTGCTGTGCCTCCATTTGTCCGAAATGTACCGATAGGCTACTGCTGCTCGGAATCGTATTGTTAATTATATGAATCGTAATCGATAACTAAAACAAATTTATTTAGAGCTTTTCCTTCATAATTTCATAACAACGTTATGGATAAGTATATGCCATAATTATGAACATGAACAGATGAAATAATGAACTATCCAGGCACTTTTTTACGAAGATTCGGTTAATTATTTACACGCAGATAAATATTAAAAAATATTGATGTGCTATAAATATCTAAGTTACGAAGTATATCAACGTTTTATGAACAATATATAAATCAAACGAAACTTCGTGAAAAGCTAAGAGTGTTGGCCTAATAGGTCTTATTAGAAACTGGTGAAACTGGATTTCACTTATTTTGCATCACTTATATTTCAGTTTCCCTAATAATTTTACAACGGATTGCCCTGTTTACATAATTTATTTTGTCCTATCCGTTTTAGACCTAAACCTATCAAATGAATTTCAAAACAACATAATATCTATACAAACAAAAAATGATGTTTTCAACTAACATAATATTGTTGGTAGTGTGAATTTAATTTACAAAATTAATTTATAGGCGTCAATTTAATTTACTTTATTATGCTGATTCATAATCGGAAACCATTATTATAGAAATCGAGTTAAGAAAGCCACTTTAAAGAACCGCCCACAGAACAGCTTAAGTTTATAGACGCATGTCTCAAACGGATGTGACTTTATATGTAGATTGATGTTTGTACGTACTTATCGCTTTTGTGTCTATCTTCAAACTTTTTTGTCACGGCTTTCAAACTCATACTTGACCAGCGATTCCTTATTGTCCAGTCGTTGCAATTAAAAATGTAGGTACTATTATTATTACAGATATAAAACTTAGAATAATAAAGTAAAACAAACATGGCTATGATCAATTTATTATTGTAATGATCATATTAGTTATTATGAAATGAAATGAAAATATCTTTATTCAAGTAGGCTATTACAAGCACTTTTGAATCGTCCAAAAAATTTGTTTCCCCTACCACTTGTTCAGGACGTCTTTTAGCTGACAAGAAGAACAAGCGAAAGAAACTTACCAGCCCTTTATCATAAGTCATATCACAATAATAAATACAACTTTCAAAGTCTGTAGGACATAGGTTGAACATATAATTAGTCTTTATAGAACAAAGCGAAGGCTATTAATTCCATGCATTGCGATTCGTAAAATAATCATCAACTTTATAATAGCCTTTACTCATAAGTATGTTTATTACATGATTTTTATTTATGGGTATGTCAACTACGAACTTTATTGAACATAGCAATGCATTAACCCAGAAATGATCCTCTGGTTATCTGAAGTCTGAAGCTTGGAATGGCAAGTTTATTTTTATTTCTTGTGTTAAGATTATTAACACTACTTTTTTTTGTGAAGAAATCGTAATGTTTTCTTGCGTAGATAATATTTTCATTGATGTATTGAGAGGCAACAGTCAAAATATTTATTTCTTTAAATATTTCTTTGAGAGATTCTCTAGACCGTAAATTATATATAGCGTGGACAGCTCTCTTTTGTAGAATAAAATATCTTGAATGCTAGCCGCAGAACCCCACAACAATAGATTATACGTCATTACACGATGAAAATAACTAAAATATACCAATCTTGCCGTTTCAACATTTGTCAAGAGTCTAATTTTCTTAACAGCAAATGCTGCAGAACTCAGTCTACTTGACAAATCATCAATATGAGAATCCCATTGCAGTCGGGAATCTAGTGTAATACCAAGGAACTTTGTCAATTTCACCAACTCAACTTTTTCACTATTTACATTTATAAGTGTATTAATATGCCTCACATTAAGTAATGCAAACTTTATGTATTTCATTTTATTTGAATTAAGCTTTAAATAATTACTATCAAACCACTGTAGAACATTGTCGAACTGAATTACGTTTAACTGTTTCATAACAAAATTTAAAGCTTTTATTTTATCAACTAATATTATGTCACATCACTAATATGCACAATCGGAATGATACCAGTAAGAAAAAATTAGGCTTAATGTAATTAATACAAAAATTCTGTTGGTTTCTTAATTTTTGTTTTTTTTTTACACTTTCCCTCGCTTAATTATATTACTCCACAGACATATGATAGAGTTTATCATTAAGTTTTCTTAGTTTTTGTACTGCGTTTTTTAAAAGATATTTTAATAAATTATATAGGGAAAAGAATTATTTTTCAATATTCACTTGGTTACAGCAAAATCTAATCTTAATAGTTCGCACATAAAATGATGACCTCAATTTTTTTAAATGTGCATAATCTTAAAATATTTTTTCCCTTCTGGAATCCCCCGTATACAGCCACGTGACAGTTCAACATTCATGTTAAAGTAAATTATTTATTATCACGTTGAATGAGAGTTTGTTTTTATTCATGTGATTTCTTAGCTTAGTATCTTTTTGGGATTTTGTTTATGTTATCGAGAACGTATCGCGTGGCGGTTTTTCATGTAGTGAACAAAATGATCATTTCATCTAATCTGTATTTGTGTGCGGAGAGGCGACACTCGGTTCCCATACTAAATCAATATCATTATACTTCTAATCTCTCTCTATGTTCTGTGGAAATAGTACTTATCAATGGTCGATCGTGGAAGCGATCTCAAGTTCAATTAATGTCATTTAGTAGGCAGCAGGCGTTTCATTATGTTGCAACAAAGGCAAAAGCTTATGAATTAATGAAAGAATGAATTAAGAAAGGCGTTTAGGTAATTGAGGTCAGCTTGCTTCCCTACAGCCGGTTGACTAAGCCCACATTATTCAATAAGTCTGCAGCCAATGGGTTTGGGTGAGTAGCCAGTCTTTGAGAGAAACGTTTCCTGTTTTTTTGAATTTCTTCTAGTACAGTGGAGGTGTTCAGGTACTGGTAAATTTAATGGTTTCGTGTGAACCATGGTGAGGATTCCATTTTGGGCTCTTCGAAGACATATGTCTATTCCAAAATTGAAGGTCATAGGTCCCACTATAAATCTATATGGATATATAGTAATATGCACCTCTGTAGGTATATAGGTTCAACAAGAAACGTTTCAAACATTTTGATTTACTTTAATAATAGTTATTTAAATTTGCCTTAGGGTTGAGGACGGCAAGGAGGTTTATGTCTGCGGCGGTTCCTTGATTCACCCACGCTTGATCCTGACGTACGCGATCAGATTCACCAGAGGCGGACGGTTCGTGGTCAAGCCGGGAGAGTATGATATTCACGTAGACAGCGAGATAGCCGGCCATCAGACTATTGAAGTTACCAAAATGATTCCACATAAAAATTTTAACTCAGGTAAATATGGTCAATCCAATAAATTGGTGGTACAGATAGGGGGCTCTGATTTGGTTGGAAATTAATGTTTATTTATCCTACACTCAATGTAGGTGAATTGGCAATAAAAATAGAGCTTATTTAGTTGAGTCAAGAGAGCTGTCACCACTACTGCCTTCTAAGTCAATTAAGAATTATTTTGTATTAATAATTAATTTACTAGCTTTTGGCCGCGACTTTGTTCGCGTGGTAGTTACTTTGAGTAGCATTTCTAACGAATATTTATTCATTATATCGTGTGAAATACCTGAAATAAAGTTGCATCACCTATTTTATCCCCTTGGGGGTAGAATTGATCAAAATCCTTTCTTAGGGGATGTTTAAGTCATAACATCTACCTGCATGCCAAATTTCAGCCCGATCCGTCCAGTGGTTTGGGCTGTGCGTTGATAGATCACTATGTCAGTCAGTCCTTCTTTGAGTTATATATTATATAGATAGATTAACAAAGTGACAAGCTTTAGTGTCTTGTGATAGCGAGGCCATTCACCTTGCTGACAAATAGGTGTGTTTACGTACGAGTAAATAATAACAATCTTAAAGATATATTAATTAATGGCTGGTGATAATTAATACAAATTGTATGTTGAGCTCTGGCAACATTCTTGCCGCCAAGACCTGTCAATGTGGCGTCGATTTAAATAAGCTTTGTACTTACCTATTTGAAACAATATGTAGGATGATTTAAGTTGATCAAAATAAAAATACATGTGCGATAGGTAGATAAGTCTGGCGACGAGGAATGATGACGATTGTTAGATATTTACTTGATCGATTTTTCTATGGGAGCCAACGTTTCTCTTATATAGACTACGCTACTTACTCATTATTTCTTAAGTTTTACCTTTAATCATTGATTGATATGACAACCAGCAGCCATTACGTTATATTATGCAGAGGAGCTCGATATCGCGTTCGGTTTGCCATTCGGTTGTTAAGAAACTTTCGCAATGGCCTATCACAGGCCTATCACCAAAAAAAAAAAATGTTATATCGATCTACTCCGTGCTTCGGAAGGCATGTTAAGCCGTTGGTCCCTGCTGTATTTGCAGTCGTTAATACACTTCGATCCCTTATGGGTCAGCGTGGACGGTCATGGTTTATACTATTTAACCATCCTTGAGGAAAGCCTGAGCTCCTGTAGTAGGTCCTGCAGTGAGGACGTGAAAGGGTTAATTGATAATGATAAATCAGAATATACAAACTTTTCAACAGGTGGGATGTTTAATAACATAGCTATACTGGTGTTAAAAGAAGTAGTTAGGATAGACCCTACTAGTATATACAATAACATTGGATACGTGTGTCTCCCTACTGCAAACATCAGGCCAACGCCTGGCACGAAATGTATAGTGACCGGTTGGGGTAGTGCCAACATAACGGACGTAACCCCGCGTAATATACCGAAGATGGTAAGTCATTCTCAGTTTCTATAATAGGGTATATGACACAATTAAAAATAAGTTGCGTATTATGGCCATCCTGTTAGATAATAATCTGATAAAGTTTATTTCTTAGAATCTGGAGATAACATATGTTCTGAAATGAGTAAAATAACAAAGAAAATGCAACATTTTGAAGAATTTAAATGAATGACGAAAACGCCCTTTAATTGGTTATCGTCGCAACCAATAACAGGTTCTGTTTACTGGCATGTGACGTCACACATAAACCGGAAGCTGTCATGTCAAAACAGAGTTTTTAGAGATACGCAAAATTTGTATTTATACATATAATTTGCAGCTCATTTTTATAAACAAAACCAGAGTAGTTACAAAAATAAATTTAACTTCAATTTCTCTTCTGTAATACTATTTGTTTACTTTGTAAATAAATAGTTGATAAATAGGGTATGTCGTCTTGACATATTTACTGGCATGTGACGTCACAAATGCCACGTGATCAGCGCCATTACATAGAGCAGCGTATTTTGCGCGATTTTGGCTATTTAAACTTTAACATTTATTTTCATAAAAAAGAACAGATTCTCATGAAATATATTGACAGTGTGTGAAAAAGAGATCTGGCTACCAGGTAATTTTAAAGGAAACCACGAAAACACACCGTCACAACCGTATATTAGTATTCTCACACTGAAGTTTCACATTTGTTTTCGTAAGTCTAAAAGTATGAATGGCATTTATTTAAAAACTGAGAATTTAGAAAATAAACATGCCGAAAAGGTTTGCGTAGCGGGTAACCAACATTGTGTTTAAATTATATCAATAAACGATTTAAAATAATTCTCAGAAAAGCGTCAAATACCCTATTTCAAGCATGTTGTGGCTTTTAATTCCTATTATTGGCCGGTCTACATGACAGGCTTAGCAAAGATTTTCATCATTATAATACAGAAATTAAAATGTGTAGCAGTAAGTAAGCGAGACTGCAATGAGGAAGTATTTAAAAAAAAAACGAAAGCACTAAAAAAGCACCTCGACTATGCCATCGAGTCGACTCGATGGCGACTCTAGCAGAAGTTGATTTTTGCAGGAAACGAATGGAGTAAAGACAATAATTTCATTTACTAACATATTAAAAAACTGAAATTTGAAAGTTCGCAACTTAGATATCAATACAAATACGAAAAAGTACAAATAGAATATGAGTTGTTTATTGAATTTTGAAAACTAATTTACTTTTAAATATGAAAGAAAACCGGAAGGGTTGTCGTAGAGAAATCAAGAACGTACCGTAGCGACATCTACTTTGATTTCGGGAACTTATGTTTTTTTTTTTTTTAATACTTCCGCATTGTAACAATATTTTTGGGTAGCATATACACTCGCAGATAACGTTTTTTGCCAAAAGTAAAGAGAAACGTAGTTACACACTTTTTGTGGAAGACCGTTTTGTATCTCCGCTTACGTTTCCATAGAAAATAAGGAAAAGCTCGCTTGATTCCATGTATTTTAAGTTACAGAAAAAAAATGCAGTTGCAAAAAAAATAAAAACAATTTATGTCGATACCTATTTTTCTATATATCTTTTATTGACAAATATTAGCGTAGCCTTAAAATAAAATTGGTTTTAAACGTGGCAATTTCGTAAAACCTCGCCTTAATGTTTTTTTTAAGCTGGAAGTGCCAATGGTTGCTTTTGATGTGTGCCAGTCGCTTGCGCGGATGCATGTGAGACCTGAATACGTACTCCATACATCGCTCATGTGTTTCGGCGGGAACAAGGATGAGGATAGCTGCAGAGGAGACGGTGGATCCCCGCTAGTGTGTCAGTACCCGGTGAGAACAAAATCTTCAACTACATGGAAAGTCGCTTTCCGTTTATCCATCACAATGTATACTTAGATCTTTAAAACTACGTAACGGATTTGGATGCGGTTTTTTTTAATAGATACAGTGACTTAAAGGGATTTTTTTTATATATAATACAGGACTACGCGGCCGAACACGCTGGCGGAAAGATATCTGTATCTACGTCATGTCACGAACGACCGCATAACTCTCTCTCTCTCTCAAGCCATCTAAAACATTTTATTTATTTTACCAACTAGCTTTCCGCCAGCGGCTTCGCTCGCGTGGTCTTGTATTATACATAAAAACCTTCCTTTGAATCACCCTATGATATAGGGACAGAGAAAGCGACTTTGTTTTATACTATGTAATGTAGTGATGACTATGCTTTAAATTCAATAATTTTGTTTATTGTAGTTTACTGAATTATGTTAATTAGACTAAATTTTAAATAAGTTTAATTTTGACAAACAAAGAATAGTAAACCAAAATGTTTGATTGAATACATAAAAATAAAAAGAATTCAGATATAAAAGAATAAAAATAGATTTTATAGCTTACAGGGTAAGCATTGGACCACGTCCTTACTTTGGAAGTAGGGTTGCCCTCTGACTGGCTTTAGTCGGACATATTTGACCTTTTTTTTGTCGCGTCCGGCTAAATAATTATATGTCTTGTTTTTGTATACTTAAGTTATTAACTATTAATATGATTAATTTCTTTTTAGCTGTTTATTTATATATTCAATAAATATATATATAAGATTTTAAAATTATTTTGTTAGTAGTGTCACGCTATACGCGACAATACCCCCCCTTAGAAATGGATTTTGTCTAGATAAAATCCTTTATACTAGTTTTATAAAAAACAATATATAAATAGTTACAAATATATACTGTGTATTTAGGGTGAGAACCGGTATTATCAAGCTGGCATAGTCTCGTGGGGCCCTTATTGTGGCAAGAAGGACATGCCCAGTATGTACACCGATGTAGCAGCCCTACGTCCCTGGATAGATGAGACGGTGCGAGCTGAAGGATTCGAAACCAGTTACTATACACCCCAGGCGACAGATGAACTAAAGAAACAGTATTAGTTTGATTTATTTTTGTAAAACAATTCATGAGTAAAATGTATATAAAGAAACAATAAAATGTTTGTTATGTCATGACACTGTGTCCTATTTTTATTACACAATTTATTAACACATCGTCTTATAAAGAAGAATTATTGGATATCGAAATCTAGAAAAAGAGGGAGTTTATAACTGTTTTCCAGACAACTACGCCCGTGCAACCTATAACCTATGTAATTCGCGAACGACTTTCCCCTAAGTGAAGCAACTTTTAAAATCGATCCATTAGTTTCGAAGCTTATTCGATGTAAAGCTTAGAAACTAATGGATCGATTTTAAAAGTTGCTTTTAAAATTTTCCCCTTTATAATATTAGTATAGATAAAAAAGAAAAGCTTGTCATAGTTTTGACCTTACAAAGAATGGACCCAATAAATTAAAAAGAATTATCGGTCATTTGCACAAACGTCCATTAAGGTTTAATGACTTTAAAGCCTCGATGAATGTCAAATTTATATCAGTAATGTCGTTAATGACTATTTTAATGGATGTTTGTGCAACTGGCTGGTGTTTCTTTGTTTATTATTTCATTCTAAAACTAATTGGCATTTATTTGTTAGTGATATAATACTCATCGCTATATTTTTCATAATATTCATTAATTTATTAATAGATAGTGTTGAAGAAAGCTTCGTTGAGGTTATTAAAGGAAATGATTATAAATGACTTCAACAAGCATTCCCAAGTAGCAAAATTCGATATTATAGAAGTTCCAAGAACGTTTTAACTCGAGCTAATCGGTTTTATGATAATGCTGTAAACCCCAAACAGGCATGGGTGGATTTACTTAAGGGCTTAACGGGCTTAAGCCCAGGGCCTCGTGGATAAGGGCTGTCAAACCTTTGTATCCAAAAATATACGATACGGTAGTTTTACATTGTGTACTAATGAAAACTCTTTTTCAACAAAATTACGAACAATGAGAAATTTGCAAAGTTCCAAACTTAGATATCAATACAAATACGAAAAAGTACAAATAGAATATAAGTTGTTTATTCAGTTTTGAAAACCAATTTACTTTTAAACATGAAAGAAAACCGGAAAGGTTGTCATGGAGAAATCAAGAACGTACCGTAGCGACATCTAGTTTGCTTTCGGTAACTAATGTTTTATTTTTAAATACTTCTGTATATAATAGGCTCCTGATTAATATTAGCCCAGGGCCTCACACTTTTACTATCCACCCCTGCAAATAGGCCCTAGTTTTATCATTGATTTGTTCTAAAACATAAGTGCTTTTTAGTATTATAGTATTAAATCGCTTTGTTGAAAACTGGTATAGTAAAAGTAATCAGAATGGTTATAAGTCTTTTTTTATTACTGTACGGTATCGAAATAACATAGTTATAGAAAATTATGTTACTTGGGTTTTCTGGAATAAGTCGTTTTTGATATAAGTTTTATTTATCGCTTTTCTAAAGTTTGAAATTGTTTCTTGTTTTTGATAAAAAAAAAACATGCTTTATTTAGTGGTATTGATATTTTGTACAAAGGTAACAAACACTATATAACAATATTCAACATATCGAGAGTCTTAGAAAAGGAGATTTTGTTTATTTGCTCGACAATTTTTTTAGGGTTCCGTATCTAAAAAACAGGAACTTAGACAGTTGAAATTTCCACAGATGATGTATTCCTTTTGCTGCTATAACAACAAAAACTAAAAAACAGAATAGAATAAATATTTTAAAAAGCTCCGTTACAACAAACGAGGTTTTTTGCTCGTGTCCGATACGGAATTCTTCGTGCGCGAGTCCGAGTCGTACTTGGTCGGTGTTTTTTTTAAATATTATATCTAATAAACGAGTTATAGAAACGATCAAGTTTTTGTAAATTTATAGTCATTTAAATATTTCTTATAATACACTTAATCGCGCGTTTGTAAATGATTTTGAACTTATTCACAATGTATTACATGTGAGTTTTAAATGTACTCATGTCGCAATATACAAGGAAAATGCAAAATACTTTAGTACCTGTTTTCATTTTTATACTTGTTTTCGACTTCGGTGCTTGTGCCAGCGGCGAGGAGGATACAATATCGAGATAATCAAGGTATGCTTTTCAATAATTTGAAGTCTTTGTTAGGACACAAAAAAAAAAACATTTTCGTGCCTTTTAACTTATTATAGGGTAGGGTCATTGGAAACGATATGATTAATTAATTCTACAATTTCATAGTTCTGATACAAATCACCTAGGTGAAACGAGCAATCGCTTAGATATACCTAACAGGTTTACCTGTTCACCTGTATAGATAAACAGGATCATGTTATCATCACGAGCTCTTTTACATCCCTACTGCTGGGGCTCGGGCCTTCCTTATGGATAGTTAAGGACGGTAGGCCATGACCTCCACGCTGACCATGCGGATTGGAGGATATTAACGACCGCAAATGCAGCCAGGACTAACGGCTTAACGTGCTACCCGAAGCTACAGTTAATATTATTTTAGTCACCCATCCCGTGACCGAGCTTGCGAGAGTTGCTTAACAATCGCGGCACTTATCCATAACACCACCGAGCTACTATGCGTATGCCGCGCGAACCATTTATTGGAGATGGTTATAGATTATTTGTCTATGACTATAGGAGTGGAACAACAATGGAAAAATTAATACAATTAATACAAATAAATAGTAGTTCTACTTCCCTAATAAGAAGCCGGTTCGATGGAAATGCAATTAAAATAAGCGTTCACTTCTCCATTTGCTAGTAGCTTAATATACAGCAGAAACTGGTTTATAATTAATATTTTAGATTGAATATTTTCCTTGTTTATGTTGTTTGTCATTCTCAAGATTTATATATTTTTTTGTTATAAAAACCTGAGAGAAGTGGGAATATTTCTACATTATAAGTTTTTATTTAGCACTTAGGTACTATCAACTCCAAAAACAAACCTTTAGGAGTCAAATTACGCAAAATCTCCTCTAAGTAAGCATCTACATCCCAACCTTCCATGAACCTTCCATGTAGTTCCTAAGATTTCGTGATTGATGAGTGAGTGACTTTTCGCTTTTATATAAATATATAGATTTTTTACATAATGTTTTATTTGATTTCAGATGTCGAAGCATGTTTTAAAACTTATATTTGCACTTGCAATATACAACGAAGCTTTCTCTGCTGATATTGAAAATAAAAGTGGTTAGTGGCTAATCCTATGTAAATAAATTTGATTCTTAGCTATTCTATCCAAGTTATGACCAGAGGTCGGAATTAGATAGAGTTATTTATGTACTTGCATCGAAATGTTGATATGAATGTGGACCTTCGTGGCAACATCGCGCGTATTGTTATTTTGCAACTTTGGACATCCGATGTCATTGATGTAAGTTTGGCAACGTCGTGCGTGCAGTAGTTTAAATTGTGTAAAAGTAAATAACTTTTTATTTAAAAAATCATGGAATTTTTTCTGCTCTTTAAAATTAATCTGGGGATTTGAGGCATATCCACTTTATTCTTTCGCTGTATGAAATCAGTGTAAGTACATGAATAACTCTACCTAATTCCGAGCACTGGTTATGACAGCCTCAGGGGTACGACTCAAGCCATAGGGTACGACATCTCAACGATGTTGTGAGCGACATTTCATTTCATTTTACTACTTTGACATGTATTATATATAAATTTTGATAAATAACTAACACCCGGTTTCTGAATCGAGAATTTAATGTTAAGCTCGTCTCACACTGTGCTTAAGCGTCGTTTAAACAGACTTTTTGGTTCTGATTTTAGTTTTTTAATTTTTCAGCTGATTTAATGATCAGTTGATGGCAATTTGATAAAACTAGGACTTTTTCCTTGTGAAACGTAAAAATAAATTTGGTTATTGAGAACCGTCTGAAACCGGCCGTAAATTGGTAACAAAGACTAATAATCAAAAGTTTTTATAATATGACTGAAGCCATGAATGACAAAAAAGTTTTTGAAAGCGTATAGAAACGTGACAAATTATTTAATGTGCTATGATTATGTCTTCTATTTTTAATTATTTTTTTTTTTTGTTTTGACCATATATTTTATTCTATTTATTCTGACCTAATTTATTTGCTGACCTTAACCTGGGTGACTTTGTATTAATTTGTAAACTGACGTATCTGAGTGCACTGTATTGCCTATAGACGAATAAATGAGTATGAGTATGTATGAGTAAGCTGTAGCGAAATCCATAATCATCAGTCTTTATCAATTATAAAGTCAAAGTAGTAATATGAAAAGTGATATCGCTTTAACGTTCTTAAAAAATTAGATAAAATTAAGACGACAATTTGTTTTGTTTGCCCGTCAGGTGGATTGTTGGAAAATATTAAATACGCATCTTTTAATTTTTTGCGTAGGTAATCATTCAATGAGGAAGTTTAAAAAAAAACGAAAGCACTAAAAAGTTCCTACACTAAATGGCTTAATGGAAACGAATGGACAAAAGATGACTGTCTTCCGTTCCTTTTAACTAACATATTAAAAAACTGAAATTTGCAAAGTTTGAAACTTAGATATCAATACAAATACGAAAAAGTACAAATAGAATATGAGTTGTTTATTGAGTTTTGAAAATTAATTTACTTATAAACATGAAAGAAAACCGGAAGGGTTATCATGGAGAAATCAAAAAAGTACCGTAGCGACATCTAGTTTGATTTCGGGAACTAATGATTTTTTTAAATACTTTCTCATTTTCATTTATATATAAATAGAGACATGTTTTGCTGTACAGAAGGTTGCGGTTGGAGGAACCCAGACGGAGTGGGATTCTCAATTAAAAGCGAAGAAGGACATTCTAATTTTGGAGAGGTTCCATGGATGGCTGCTTTGTTGAAGTAAAATATTTTTCATTGCAATTTCTACAGAAACTAGAAAACTAGAGTTATTTAAAAAGAAATCGATCAACTTTGAATATTCTTATTTTTATTTAAACTTTAAACAAATGGCGAATTTAATGCCTTTAGGGGATTCTCTCCCAGTCTACCAAGTAAACCGAGCACATAAAATAGGAGAACAGGGATAAAGTTAAAAGGGTAGTTGTAAAAAAACATAACACTTCTTTTACTATAGATATTAGGTACCACAGGTATCTATTGGCTGGTATACACGTATTAAGTACGTATAAACACTATAATTATCTAACAATTTAGATAAAGTAGTAATAGACGGTATCTAGGTGTAGGACATCTGAAAAATGAAATAATATTCTCAATAAAAAACGCTTAAAAATTCACTTTGTCTCCGGTACTCTGAGATGGGAACCCACGAACCTTTCGCAACAGAGCGTTTTTCATCAATGTTCAGGCAATCCATCCAAACAACCGCAAAAAATATTTATACAAATATTTTTAACTATCGACATAGATGAAAACTTTATTCTAATTATTATTATTTGATTAATTTTGCATTCTCAATGTTATATTGAAACGAAATGAAAATATCTTTATTCAAGTAGGCTATTACAAGCACTTTTGAATCGTCCAAAAAATGTTTTTTCCCCTACCACTTGTTCAGGACGTTTTAGCTGACAAGAAGAACAAGCGAAAGAAACTTACCAGCTCTTTATCATAAGTAAAGCCATTTACAAAATCATGTCATTACCAAAATAATATGTATTATCACAATAATAAATACAACTTTCAAAGTCTGTAGGTCATAATTTGTACATATAATTAGTCGTTATAGAACAAAGCGAAGGCTATTAATTCCATGCATTGCGATCCTTTAAATAATCATCAACTTTATAATAGCCTTTACTCATAGTTCTTTACATGAATTTCAAATTTATTTATGGTTAGGTCAATTAAATTTTGTGGAACTTTATTGAACATAGCAATGCATAGAAATGACCCTCTGGTTTTCTGAAGTCTGAAGCTTGGAACGGCAAATTTATCAAAGATTAGTTTATCAAACACTACTTTTTTTGTGAAGGAATCGTAATGTTTTTTCTTGCGTACATAATATTTTCATAGATGTATTGAGAGCCAACAGTCAAAATACTTATTTCTTAAATATTTATCTGAGAGATTCCCAAGACCGTAAATTATATATTAGAGCGGACATCTCTCTTATGTAGAATTAAAATATCTTGAATGTTAGCCACAGAACCCCACAACAATAGACCATAAGTCATTACACTATGAAAATAACTAAAATATACCAATCTTGCCGTTTCAACATATTTCAAGAGTCTAATTTTCTTAACAGCAAATGCTACGGAATTCAGTCTACTTGACAAGTTATCAATATGAGGATCCCATTGCAGTCGGGAATCAAGTGGGAACTTTGTCGATTCTACCAACTCAACTTTTTCACTATTTACATTTATAAGTGTATTAACATGCCTCACATTAGGTAAAGCAAACTTTATGCATTTCATTTTACTTGAATTAAGCTTTAAATTATTATTATCAAACCACTGTAGAACGTTGTCGAGAGCATCATTTACATCGTCAAAACAATCATTACCCCTCTTAACTTTAAACACTAAAGAGGTGTCATCAGCAAATGATACTGTCTCGGACAAATTCTTCGTAAATTGAGTAAGATCATTAATGTAAATTAGACAAAATTTAAAGAGCAGTGGTCCTAATATCGATCCCTAAGGGACGCCCATAGTAATGGGTGCCCCTGCGGATATTATAGCTACCCAGAATCTAACAAGACTGACGAATTCTTCAAGCACAAAACTAACTTTTGAAATATACACGAGATAAAACCATTTAAAAGTTTTATTAATTAAAACTAAGTTTATGTAATTAATGTTCCAGGATTGAAAATACTGACCTTAAGGAGCCGTTGAACATTTATAGTGGTGGAGGCTCTCTTATCCACCCGAGCGTTGTGCTAACTGCCGCCCATCTTGTGGCTGATAAGCAACCAGAAATGTTAAAAATCAGGGTCGGCGAATGGGATACTCAAACCAAGGCCGAGATTTACCCGCATCAAGACAGAAACGTCGCTAGTGTGCTAATACACGAAGACTACGACAAAGGTCTGATTTTTTTATTTATTAGACTACTTTGTTGTTGTCCCGTGACTTCGATCGCGCGAATTAAAGCCCATGCCACCAGCTTATGATGTAGCTTTCCATAGCTGAAATATTTTAAAAAATCGGTCCGATGTTTTCGGAGCCTATACAATGCAAATTAATAATCAAATTTTTCTTCTTTGATAAAGATTTACAGTTACACGTGGATTTGGCTATGTAAAAGGATAAATAACTAAGTTTCAGATTAGAACAGCGAGTCTAAAATATACTAAGAACGGATCGAGCGTGAAATCATTTATATTCTCTCTCAAAAAAATCTCTAAACTAGAATATATATTTTCTCTATTACAGGCTCCTTGAAAAACAACATTGCTCTACTGTTTTTGGCAAAGCCTGTGGAACTAGCCCCAAATGTAGGGGTCGTATGCTTACCACTGCCTCATAATAAGGCACTACCGGGCACCAAATGCTACTATACGGGCTGGGGAAAAGATAAATTCGGTAAAGAAGGACACTACAGTACAATACTTAAGAAGGTTAGTGTTACATTTTAATAGATTACTTATTAAAATAATGTCCGTGTTCACAAATATTTAGGAATCGTCCAAGGTAAATATGCGTTTTACCATTGACCAGGAACCACCTAACGAAATTAAGCAATGTCTAAAATTGAGATATTCTTTATGCGGCACGTTTTACTGGTTAGGCCTCCGAGGATCCACTGGGCAGCTCACTGCCGGATGGATTCACGGAGGAATCCCACACACATCCCCCGTTGCCTGCCGAGTTGGTAACAGGGACAGTGCCTTAAGCATTCTGCGACGTAAAAAAGGACGGTTATAACAATAAGCTAATCAAAGTTATATATTAATATATAGTATAATATATAATATTGAATATCTGTCCCTTGGATAATATTGATTAGTTTTCACACTGTGATCTTTATAGAAACTGATTGCGTTAGTATATTATTCTATACTATAAGTTATGTTAGAATTTAATGCAAAATGGACTGTGACCCAAAAGGTATTGAAAGGAAAAGAAATGGGTGTATGATCTTGTCCAACTTTCGGCGAGCAAATAACAAAACCTCACCCACCTTGATTCCAAACTGTCAGACACGTAACTCCGATGGTAGCTCGGCTTGGCGGGTACACACGGTGCTCAGCTTTGGTAGCTCACTGCTGGACAAATCTATACATGGATATGCTATGACCACGGGTCTAGACACTATATGGGTGGTGGAACGTCCACAACTAGTTCACACACGACGCGGTACACAAACGTTGTGCTCTCTTCAGCGCGCAGCAAGCTAGTGTCGTTGTAGAAATTTTCAATGGGCGAAGTAAAAGTTAATCTACCCACCAATAATTGGACAATAACTGAACATACCCCCCACCGAAATCAATGTGATGATTTCCAATAGATATGGAAGATTTGGTATAAAAATAGAAAATTACATTATTTACTAATTATAGAATGTTATATTATAGATATTTATATTACTTATATGTATACTATTGTTTTTTTTTTTTTTTTCTTTTTTTTTATTGTTTATTTTTAATCTATTTGAGGCAAGGGGCAAATTTTATTAACTGGTCTCTTGACAAGGCCATTGGGGGTTCTAATAGTTAATACTCTAACAACCTTATCAATTCCAGGATGGACCGCTTCTATTCTACCACGAGGCCATTGTAATGGCCGAGTTAAATTGCTCTTAAGTAACACTAAATCTCCTACCTTGACATTAGTACGGTATAAATGCTGTTTGGCTGACTTAATGCCAGCTTCCCAGAGCCCACCCATAGAAGCTGCAGTTGCTGGGTTATTTCGCCATTCTACCGATCGCGATGTCAAACCGTTAAGGATTTCATTATTAAATTCGTTATTATTAAAAAAACGACACACTTCCTTTAAATATTTTGCAGATGCTATAAAATTGGTTCCACAATCGGAGTATAGACAAGCACAAAGCCCTCGCCTTGACACAAACCCATCAAACGCGGCTAAAAAACATTCTGCTGATAAGTCAGTTAATACTTCTAAGTGCACTGCCTTTGTGGAAAAGCATATGAACAAACAAAGGTATGCTTTAAATGTTTTGGCATTACGTCGCAAGCTTTCCTTCACGATAAATGGTCCGCCCAAATCACAGCCGACGTGACTAAAAACCTTATTCGGTATTAATCTAGGTGCGGGTAACGTACCCATCATTGGTTGCACCACAGACGGTTGGTACTTAAAGCATTGAATGCACTTTGATAACACGGATCGAATTTTGTTACGCGCATTTACAATCCAATATTTTTTACAAATAATACCATGTAAATTACGGGGACCTGTGTGTAAATACAGTTTGTGTAAATATTCGATTAATAAATTTACAGTATGGCAGTTTTTCGGTAATAAAAACAGGTGTTTTGTATTATATGGTAGGTCAGATTGTGAAATCCTACCCCCCACCCTGAGGAACCCTTGGGTGTCCACAAATGGAGAAAGTTTGCGTAATGACGTCACAGTGTGGTTACGCTTTAAATCATTAATCTCGTTATGAAAATAATTTGATTGAATGACATAAATAATTGAATCATGAGCATTTTTTATTTCTGATGATCTTAATGGACCTAAGTGACGATTGGATGGTTTATTTTTTAAATTAAATATATATCTATGACACCAGGCAATCACTCGTTGTAAGTGATTAAAACATGAAAATTTTGAAAATTCAGTTTCAAGATCATTAATTAAGATTTTATTCGTGGTAGAATTAAAACAAAACTTGTCTAAATTATTTTTAATTTCTGGAATAGTGTCGTCACTCTTTATTAGAATTTTTTTTATCGGCCAGTCATTAAAATTCTGACTTAACCATTAACGAAATTAGTGAAATCATTAATAAATTGATTAGGTAAAACCCCTCGAGAACAGATATCGACAGCATTATTCTCGCTATTAATGTGAAACCACAGATTTGGTGAAACAATATCTACGATTTCGCAAACTCGATTAGACACAAATGTTTTTAATTTGTAAGCCGGCGTCTGTAACCACGAGACAACGACGCTAGAGTCGGTAAAAGCATAAATTGAATATTCAAAGTCTTTTAAGTGTTGTACGAAGAAACTAATAAGATTTGCGAGCAATAAGGCTGCCATCAATTCTAGCTTAGGAATTGATAAAATAGGTTTTAATGACGCAACCTTTGATTTGCTGGTTAATAGTCTGACTTTAATATTTCCTTCCGAATCAGTGCTACGTAAATAAACACAGGCAGCGTACCCGCGCGATGACGCATCGCAAAAGCCTATTACATCTACGTTAACGAAATTTGGAATTAATAAGTGCCGCTCAATGCGTAACTTAGCTAGTAATGGTAATTCATTAAGGAATTTGTTCCATTTTGAATTCAGATCAGGTGGTAATTTATCATCCCATCCTAAGCTTAACCTCCACAGATCCTGCATTATGCACTTGGCCACAAAAATATAAGGCGATAAGAAACCCACAGGGTCATAAATACTGGCAAGTAATTTTAATACTGAGCGCTTAGTAGACACAGCGTCCTTAAAATTATAGTTAAAAGAAAAACAATCAGAAGACGGTATCCACTTCAGACCCAAGACTTGTAACGACGACGATGTATAATCATTGTAATCGATAATAGTGATTTCATCCGCCTTCACCCTCGAGAGAAGTTCGGGATGATTACTGGACCACTTCCTTAAATCAAAACCTCCACTTTTGAGAATGGACATTAATTGATCTTGTATTGTGGATGCTTCAGCTAGGGACTGACAGGACCAGACAAGGTCGTCCACATAAAAGCCTTCAACTATAACGTGCGAGGCAGTGCACTGAGGGCCATCACGCGCCAGCTGATGCAGCGTGCGGACCGCTACGAACGGAGCACTACGGAGACCATACGTATTCGTCTTCAGTTCATAAACTTTTACTGGATCCGTAGGAGCATCACGCCATAGAATATGTTGATACTGCCTATCTGAAGGATCAATGAGTACTGCGCGGTACATTTTTGACACGTCAGCTGTAAAACACACTTCATACAGTCTGAAACGAGTAATTATTTTTAAAATGTCTTGGTGAAGTTTCTTACCTGTCAGTAATATATCGTTTAACGATACACCATTACTGGTAGGACAGGAACCATCGAATACTACCCTGAGAGGAGTAGTACTACTTGATGGACGTAATACGAAGTGATGAGGTATTAAATACTTAGACGGTTCAGACCCACGATAAACCTCCATATGCCCTAGTGCCTCATACTCTTGCATAAACTCGGTATATGCTTTACGAAGGTCAGGGGATCGAGAAAGACGGCGCTCAATTTGAGTGAGCCTTTTATAGGCTGTGTCATATGAGTCACCCAACTCTTCATGTTCCGGCCTTAAAAGAATAGGCGAAACATAACGTCCAGTCTCATCGCGGCAAAGTCCACTGACGTATAAGTTTTCGGCAACTTCTTCTAATGGATTAATTGGAGCCTTGCACGGCAAAGACTCAATTTCCCAAAAACGTTTTAGGATATCATTAAAAGAATTATCTTCAATAGTGTATGACACTAAAGAAGTTGAAAGTACCGAGGTAACCGAAACACAAAGTACCGAAGTACCACAGGAAGGTGCACATAATTTTCCCGTGATTACATAACCAAATACACTACTGAGGGCTGCAGGAATGTTTTCATCAAAAATAATTTTATTTCCATCGTAAATGTGCGGAAAAATATCACCCGCTAAAATAATATCAATGGGTGATTTTATATAAAACTGTGGGTCCGCTAAAATTAATGAATTGTATTTATTAATAACATTTTTTGGAATTTTTACTGTTGGTAAATCAGCTGTAAGTTTTGATAATATAACTGCATCTATTTTAAATGTTGAGTTATTAGTGTGACGTGACTTAATAATGCATGACGTCATACCATGATTTTTTACTTGTTCACCGGCAAGTCCGAAAATATTAAATGGACATTTGTAAGTAGAAAGTCCTAAGCGTTGCAAACAAGATATAGAAATGAAATTCGATTGTGCACCCGAATCGATTAGAACGCGACACGGTTGATATTTGTTAAAATTATCCTTAACGTGCACTACGGCCGTGCCTAATAAAACAGCGTTATAGTTACCTAGCTGCGATGCAGCCAGGCACACGTTCAATGCGCTTGAGTCACTCGCGGAGCGGCTATCCTTTACTGCGGCGCACGGCATAGACACTGTGCTTGGAACGGGTTCGATTCTCGCGCTCGTGTCAACATGCAATAAAGCATTATGAAGTTTTTTACAAACTACGCATTTAAATTCACTTTTGCACTCAGATACTGTATGATTGGGCTTTAGGCAATTATGGCATAACTGCAATTGGTTAACACGATTAATTCGTTGTATAGAAGCATTTGGCGAAATTGTTCACATCGAAAAATCATGTGTTTGTCGCCACAATGACTACATTTTAAATTATGATTATTATTGGAACGTGAAGTTGACGCAAGGGAAAAATTTTTAAATTGCGTCTTATCTGACCTTATATTTTTTACAGTTGTTTTTTTATAATTATTTTGATTATAGAATTTAGTATTTGAATATGAAGAATTTATTGAGTGATCTAAAACTTTAACTTGATTATGAACAAATGATATTAAATTTGTGAAGTCTGGAATCGTAGATTGATCTAAATTTTGTTCAAAATATTTTCTAGTGCTCGGGTCTAATGCCCTTAATGCAATGTGACATAAAATAAAACTACTTAATTTTTTTATATTTAATGCCTGGATCGCCTTATAAGAATGTTCAAAAGCTTCAATAAATAAATTTAAATTCGATGATGATTCTGTAATCATCGGTGTGAAATTTAACATTTTATCTAAATATTTACCGGCTAGCATTCTATGATCTTCATATTTATCTAATAAACTTTGCCAAACAACATCATAATTATTAGCAGAAATAGGTACACTTTTGGGTGGATTTCCCGACACAAAAAATTGCGTGGCATCGATGAAATCGGTATTAAAAAACCTAGTTATAGCGTTCTAATATTTTTTTCTGATTAGGTGAAATAGTGAATTATGTGGAGCACTAAATATTACATTAATGGAATTAATGAGTATTTACTTAAAAATTACTAAACCTCGAAATATTTCATTCCCGTGTTTGTCCACAATCCACCTTGATTTGTATTATACTTGATTGATAAAAATCTATTGGTTATTTATATTATATCATACTTTTATTTCATACGTGAATAGTTAAAGTATTGTTACGGAATACATTTATTCAAATATTTAAACAAT